AGTTGGTAGCGTGACATGGCAGTGATGTCATGGGGTTCCTGTCTTGATGCCATAACATTTAACAGTATAGTTTATCCTTGAACTTTACTGGTCCCACCATTGTTTTGTTTGCTGGTTATGTTTTTTGTTCTGCGCATGAAGATGAGGCCTTTGTGAATGGGCTAGTGCAAAGTTAAAAGAGGCTTCCAACCTTTTAAACAAATATGGCTTTACATGTTTGGACACTTTCGAATAGTTACCCTCCAGTAAACAAGTAATGAATGATGTCGATGTCACTATCCATAAATAGCTTGAAATTATTTTATATTCAAAGTAATGGAGAAGACACAATGGCACGAGACATTTACTTCTGTCAGAAATTTAAATTGTATTAGGGCTACAAAATACAATATATTACAGAATACAATATTTGTCACACTTTTTCAATTGATGCTGTAAAATAAAAATATTGAAATAGAACAAAACAAAAGTAGGCCTACCCTCATGTGTCAAAACGTTCAAATTTTCTGTCATTAAAATAAGTTAAAGACATTTGTCTACATTTACATTTTGATTGGTAGATAAGATTTTTGGTGGGGTTCACTGTGTTGATCATGCTCTAATTCCATTTTGTTCACCGAAAATTTACCTAAACTGAAAGGGTTAGGCCTAATTGATATGAACCATTCAATCTTTACTAGACAAATGTCAAACGATAGCAAATACACGGGAAATTCTAAGTTTTTAATAACGTTACATTCGCTATAAGGGATACATAAAATACCATTGGCAAATTAAAAATACTCTTTGAGAACCACTTTAGCTGTAAAATATTGAAAAAAATAATAAAAATAAAGTCACTTTAAACGGTGGTAGGCCTAAATTTAGACATCAAATCTTTATCCGCACTAATTAACTAACCCAATAACATACGAGCAGATGGTGTTTGAATGTGGATCTATGTGCACTTATTTGATCACAAATTAATCTTACCAGGTAAAAAAACTCTTCAAGGCTATATAAAGAGTTGTTACTTTTGATTGACATTAAAAATAGTAAAATTGGCAAATCTCAGTTTAGACCCAGCTTTAAAGTTGGCTTCAGCAATTCTAGTAGTTTAAATGCAGATTTGGTGTTTGCTGGTAAAGATCAGGGCTACAGATACAAGGGCTAGGCCACGCGAGCTCAGAAAGTGATGCACGGTGGCTCCCCACCACTCCGCCGCTGTGACGTCACGGCGATACCTCGGGCTCCCGGCACCGTATATCTTTGCCTGTGTGAGCTCTGGTATTACCGCACATTTTGCGTATATTAAGCTCTATGTTGGACATTTTTTATTAGGTATTAATGTATTTTATAAAAGTAATTGATTTTCAAATAGGATTACGTATAACATCAATTTTAATAAGTAAAAAATTAACTTTAGTAGATATTTAAGGATGGGAGTGGAATGTAAAGCGATGGCTAAGAATACTGTAGTTATTGATCCAATGTATTAGTTACTGTGTAATATCTGTGTTCGTATTGCTCGAATGTATCTTAATGTATGGATTATTAATTGTATTTATTTATTACTTATTCATACCTTTTAGGATTCATTGAGGTTATATAAAATACATTGAGGTTGTATAAAAATGCATTACCTATACTTTGTATTTTGAAACTTTTACAGGAAGGAAAAGAATTTCAATTAATCAATTACATTTTATTATAGGCCCTACATATTTCAATACATTAAAATAACATATAAAATACATTAAGTTGCCTGACTAACTAATCTCTATCTCTGTTGACCAATAACTAACAAGTCGAGTTTTGGTGTGATTTTACTTTATCAGTTTACATCGTGATTATAAGTTGTAAATGTTTCGTTACGATATTATTTATTTTGCCTCGACTGTAATGTGACATTACTTTTAGAAACTTGAGACACTATTTTTTAGCCAGTTTTGTGAACTTCATTGACTGTTTACCAACAACGAATATCGCGGGTTTGACTTTATTTTTTTAATCGTATTTATTAGTTGTAAAAATTGTACTTATTTAGTTTATACACTGTTTTATGTGGATATACTTTCTTAATTTGAGGTCTGGGACATTACATTTAGCCCGTTTTTGAAACATTTCGTCATAATTAACAAACGATTTAATCGCCAAATGAAAAAGGCACAAAAGCATTTTATAGAAAAATTATAAAACATTTATTTGTGTATATTTGCCTTTATAACTATGTATATTCAGGTAGGGGAATAAGTTTACTTTCATGTTATATAGAATGTTTTTTCTAGACAAATATAAACATTTATTAAAAGTCATAAACATCTATTGAAATGATCAGTATACATAAACAATTCTTACTTCATTTGATCTCCAATATTATTGCCTAAAAATGTTTATTTTTACTTTATCTCTTGATAATACATTTATTTGGTTTTTATTTGAAATTTGTTGTGCAAAATCGTGAAACTTGTCATTTTATTGTTTTTGGGCCATAACTTCGTATAAATGGTAATTGGAATCTTTTTACATTTCCATGTAGGGAAATAAACTCCAAACAATTTGTATATCTTATGAAACATTTTTGGTTCATGCAGCAACTTTTCTTCCTACTGACAATATTTTCTACAATATTTTCAATATTTATTTTGTTACCATTTTCAAATTCTTCATTTCATTACGAACACTTCAAGTTGGAAATAATAAATACAGTTCATAGGTTGAATCTGTTAGTTTAGTTTATATGAATTTTCGAAAATATGACTGCAAAGTCGCCAAAAATGCCTTGCCACTACAGAGTTCGCCCATTGCAAGTTGGAGGGTTAACGAAACCCGCTTTAAAAATCACACTATAAAACTACATTATTATAAACACAATTATTAATATGCGCGTAGATGCCGGGGGACATATGCACTGCCGTGCTAGGCTACCGTCACGCCTCGTGCCGATGTATCTCCGCTACGTCACTATGAGGAGTGTCGGGGGAGGGGAAGTAGGATCAGGCGGCGACCGCTAACGTCAAAGGAGTGAGCCAGCCCTTGTATATCTGTAGCCCTGGGTAAAGATCCTGATCATATTTCAACACTGGCAGTATGAAACACTGCTCTGAAGCCTGCTACAAAAAAGTCCCAAAAGAATGGTGCATAAAAATTTCCTTAGGAAACCAATTTGTTGAATAAGTGACTAATAAATTTTATTTGTAGATGAACATGATTGTGTCTCAAAGAACTATACTTCATTAGATAGTATTGTTTTGAGTCTTTTATATCTGTCTTCGGAATGCAATAATTTTTATTTGTTTCTTTTGATGCTCGTTTTCCAGGTTTCCAGAGGATATTTTGCATCAGAGAAAACCCCCAGTTTTGCCCCAAATGTGGTTGTTACCACAGAAGTCACCCGGCCAAGAAATGTGTTTGTCTCACCATTACTTCTCTGATTGCTTGTTTATGCTTGGTATTTCTGACTGTGGCACTCACATTTCATGTCGAAGGTAAGAATTTGGAATTTGTACTCAAAGGATTGCAAAACTAAAAACTTTTTGCTCATATATGCTCTTTAAAAACATAATTTCAATATACAAAACACAATATGATAATTTAAATGAACACGGACAATTTACCGTTTCGATTTAGTCATGTTTTTATGACACAAAATTTCCCAATTTCTCTCTAGACCATTTTAAAGAGCTTAACAAACAAATAATTTAGTATATCAAAGTGTTTTTGTACGGTTATTGGTTACGTTACGAAGAAAATCCAAAAAACTGTTCAATTAAAATTCTTATGTCATTCTTAAGGAGAATATTGTAAAACTTTGTAGTTTATTTGTTTATGGATATATTTTGATCAAACTTGGCAAACTTATTTATTTTATATTAAGCTACTAATATTTTACCAAAAAACACTTTATTACCCTCCTTGTAGCAGCAAACCTAGGTACTTGTTAAAACTTGTGTTAGGCTATTTAAATTTTAATTGAAAATCATATCAGGCAAATGGAAATTCACTTAGTCTGCAGGTTTTGCAGCGGCAGGGGTATCTACTGTTCTAATTGAAACAAAAATACAAGTTTTGCTGTGTCTACTATTTATATTTAAAGTTTAAAAAACCCTGTGTTTTAGGGTCTTCAAACCACTTTGCGAACATAAGCAGATCTAAACCTTTATAGTGTAGCATATGGCTGGAAGGCTTATAATATGGTGTGGTATTGTGTTTTAAAACATGGTTATTTACAAAAAAAAGAACAAAAAAAAAAAAACATGGGTTATAGAAAAATTAAAACCATTCTCCAATTCTTTGGGAAGCCAATTTTTAGACTTGACACCTTTTTTATGCATCATTACATTTCATTTACTTTGTACTTACACCAAAAAAATGTTGTAACACTGATGACCATCCACCCTGTATAATGCGGTGAATTCAAATACAACAACCATAATATATGTATTGTTGTTTTCATTGTTGCGGTGCAAAAAAAGCCAGTGTCCTGTGAAATCAACTTACTGTAGGTACTGTCTATATTAAGCACTGTACTACTACTTTACATAAAGCTTTTGATCGTGCGACCTCATATAAAAGATCTACAAGGAAAGGTTTCATAAAATTAATCCGTGAAAGTTAATTTTGTTTGTTTATGTTATTTTTTTACGAAACTATGAATATTTAGGCTAACATGGTAAATACACTTTTTGTAGAAAATCTTTTCGCAAAAAGGATTAACAATAGACGGCATTGTTATCTTTACCCGTTTTAAAGTTATAGCAAATTTTCTAAGATACTGTAAATTTATCTTAAAAGGGGGTTTGATAGGAAAGCACAAGGGGGAGGAGTGGGGAATTTTTGGAAAATGCTAATCTCAACATTGTCCAACAGCATAGAAAATCCAACTTTCCCAGAATTACCCCCGACATTTCCCTTATTTATATCTTCATTGGCTGGGCTCTAAGTATTTATGCAGTAGATATAGACATTCTATAATGGTTTAATTATACGTAATGATACATTTTAAATTATTTTTTCCAGAGATGCAGAGTGGCTATGAAACAGTTCATCACTTCTTGGTGCTTATAACCAATCCCGAGAGTAATGATTCTCTGATAACACCTGGAGTTGAACCACAGAATACCATGAATGTGACGGAAATATTGTCAACAACAGAACCAGCTGTCACTGCCAATACGGAGGATACCTTTGGAAATGATGAAGATTACGAGGAAGAAGAAGAGACAAATGAAGACAATTATTCTGATAATGGGTATGAAAGGAGAAAAAGAAGTGTAGAATCAATCAATACAGAATACAAAAAAAATCTCAGTGAATCAGATTGTTTATCTATTCTTTCTTTACATCAAAATAAAACTTCTAATTCTTCTGAAAATGAAGAGAATGATGAGTACGCTAAGAAATACAAATACTGTGAAAATTTGATGAGGAATAATACTAACAAAAATGGCTCTGGTTTGGATCAAAAGTTAGAAAAATCTAAAGAAACCGATGTAGGAAGCCCCATTCCAATTTCTCCCATTGCTACTACCAATGAAGGACATTCCTTAAAATCTGAGGATTCTGAAATGTCAGAGGACAAGTACTCAGAAAAACGAAGTTTTGACGATTATTCCCAATTTCAATATCCTTACCATGACCATTATCCTATCCCAAATTCACTTGGAGATCCTGATATAGTTCCAATGAACCGAGCGTCAGAAGGCAATATTCCGTACATACCAATCTCAGCTCGTACCAGGCAGCCCTACCCTCCTACAGGTCCTGATGGTTCAAATTACGGCCAAAGTATGAAGACAAGTCAACAACTGACTGTCGCTGATGACCCGATTTTGAAACGTGTATGTTTTCGTGCGCAAAACAGTCCAAACCCACAATCTGTAGTTTGTCTACCCGCATCAAGATTATTTGACCCTAATCAAAATCTACAAAATCTCTATTCGAGCGGAGATTTTTCAAACGATAGGAAGCAGAAAGGTTTGGATTATTCTCTCCCCAATGGGAACGCTGCCTCTAACCTCAATTCTGATAATCGTCAACAATTTGGGATACCACCACCTACTAGTTCTGATATGCATCTACCAACAGCAATTTCTTCTCCAAATCCTTATTTCTTTCCTACTATGAATGGAGCTCCGATCATGAACAATATGTACGATTCTCGCCAGATCCCTCCTCATTGGCATTACGGAAATCAACCTGGATTCGTTTCACCGTTCTATGGATCTTCTAGATTTCCTGGAGGCTTTGCAGGTTACCAGCCTCAACAACAGTTCCACATGTTGCCTCCCCAATCCGCAGCGGACCTGCTGAATCCTGTCATCTGCATGTACGTCCAGTCCCGATCTCACCAGTTCCCTATTGTCAACGGAGTCACAGAGGTGAAGAACAGAAATGTTGAAAGTGAAAGCCCATCTTGGCCAGTAAGCAACAATTCTTCTCAACCAACGTTTAGATCAGGTAATTGTCCTTATAGATCAGTTAGCTTAAGAAGTAATACTAATATGTCATCTTGATAATTTTTTCATGATAATAAATCAAATTATTTTAAATCAATAGAATCCCTTATAGATTTATCATCTATATTGATCAGCATAAGACACAGTTCCTCAAAGTATCTTTCTGAATAATTTATGTTGAGGGTGCTATGTTGTTTAATATTTGTTTCTTGTTATTTGATCCAATTCAAAACTATTTTAGTTAACAATCTATATTGATAAATATACAAGAAAATAGGAGAGTAACATTTAATTGACATTAGTAGGCCTACATCCAAACATATCCAATATCACATTTAAATCTGGTTCCAGATTTTGCCGTGAGATTAGAAGTCTGTTTTCACTATTTGAAGTAAATGGTAGATCTTTCAGTCGTTTATTTGTAAATCTTGTATCCTAATACAACCTATAGGGTACCGTGGGTATTTATATTTTTAAATTTAGTTTTTTAGTCCAAATTTTTAGTGAGCGGAAAGCTAACTTTAATTATGTAGACTATATTTTTTTAAATAAACATTTAGACCAAATGGACTGGTATGGACTGGCATTTGCCATATGTCTTCAATTATTTAAAAATGTTATTTCTTTCATTAATATGTTATTGTGTTAAACAAAAGTAGGTCTACATAGCTCAAATTCTTGACTGTAAGAGTGACATTTTGTTACAATTTTATACTAATGAGTTTGCGTAGTGATGGCACAGCTAAAAATGTTATAACAATTTCACTCTTGTAGGCCTACTGTACCATCTTACCCTTTGTTTTGCTTATTACGTTCTATACTTAAGCTGGAGATCTACAATTGGAAAAATGCAAGGTTAAAAGAGGCAGCACACCTCTTTGCATAGTGATTTTGAAATCTAAAGAGTTTTTTTACTTATTACTTTTTAACTAAAACATATTCTATTGTTCAAAAACTATTCAAAAAGTACGAAGAGGAAGAGGTGAAGCTATAGAGGCTATTGTAAAGGAGCCATTATCTGTAATACCGCTAGCAACTCAGCTTCAGCCAAAACCGCTTTGTTTGAAAAAAAGCTGGAAGAGCAATGCTTGGTTTGGCCTAATTCTGACACATCTTCCTAAATATTGTCATACTGACTCTCCGATATGTGTTCATTTTTTACAATCTTTGTTTTGATAAACATTTTTGAAACATTTGAACGCATTAATACAAACTCTACCGTCCATTCTTATCAATAGGCAAAGAGACCTCACAGTCAGGCCAAGTAATTTACGTAATATTAAAAAAGTCATATTTACCATAAACAAATTACCTTTTATTATACAAATTTTGAAATGTTAACTTTTTGGAAATGTGTTTTTGATTGTAAGTTGCTTAAGGACGTTTTATTCACCAAGGACTTTTTGAACCATCTTTCAAAGTAATCTTCCAGCCATAATTGCAATTACAGTCTAACCTTGGTATAACGAACCTCGATATAACGAATTCCTTGATATAACGAACTTTTTTAAATCCCCTAGAACTCTCCATAAGACACAATGTATATTTTACCTCTACATAACGAACAATCCATATCAACGACCTTGATTTAACGAATTTTTCATGATCCCGGCTAAAATAAGACACCTCAATATAACGAATTTATCACTGTCAGAACCTCTACATAGCGAATTTAACCTCTACTTAACGAATTGTCTGCGTCTCTCCCTCGATACAACGAACCCCCCACCACCATTATTATTATTGCTTTTGAAAAATCTGTTTCTTCATCAAATGAAATGGAAAGGTGACGTCAACGCTTGCGCTAACATTCGTCTGCTCCGTTTACACATCCCTGTCTGCTGTCGTCGTTGCATGCGCGCTATGTTTACAACTAACTGAGAACTGATTTAATTCACTGAGGACTGATGACGACGTAATGTGTAGTAAGCTGATTGGGTGATAAGTAAATATGGCGAATTGTACAATTTTTGGATGAAGAGAAACCTTAGAAAGAAAAAGAATAGAAGATCAAGTCAAGGCAAAGAAAATGAATAGCAACATCGTTATCTTAACATTCCTTTTACGAGTGTTTTTATTATCTTTAAGTTGGCTATGATTATACACTTTTATAACGACTTAGCCTATCTAATATTTTTATTATTTTCAATATGATTTGTACTAAGTTCATGAGTATTACATTACATTCCTCTATTGTGATTTAAAGCAGTACTGTAGCCCACCACCGGCCTATCACGAGCAGTAGCTTACAAAACTCTCTACTGTTTTGTTTTGTTCTTTACGTGGTTTATTGCTATGCAATACAGTGTTTGGTTAGGTTTTAGGTGGGTTGGAGTAAGCAGTAAGCTGTGATTTTAAACTTACAGTTTGTAACCTGTACCAAGGTCAATGACTAGAAATGTCATGATTGCACAATATTAAAGACCCCTCCCCTTTTAGTACTCCGGATAATCGAGGTTCTACTTTACAATGTAAACACTGTACACTGTAAAGTATTGTAGCCTATGCTACTTTAATTGTGTTTTAATGAGGTCCAATCCCGACCTATATAGACTGGTGCTGGTTCTGAACCTCGACTTAGCGAAATTCCTGCAAACCTAACCTCTATATAACGAACCTCATTTTAACGAATTCCTCGGTATAACGAATATTCAGTTCGGTCCCTTCAGATTCGTTATACCGAGGATGGACTGTAATTTAAGCAGCTAATTTAGCAATTAATTTGTGGCTGTATATATAATTTAGAATTAGTGGTGGTTAAATTTATGTGATCAATGTGATTTTCATACTAAATGAATGAACATTTAAAATGGACAGAACATCAAATTCAGGTCACTAAATCGTTAGCCAAAGCTTCGTTTGGATTAAGGGTCATCTTCAAAACAACGGGACTAAATGCTGCTTTGACAGTTTACCATTCCTATTTTATGTCCAGGGCTTGCTATGGCATTATTTCTTGGGGCAGCTCTCCGATCATAGATGGGTTTTTTATTCTTCAAAAAAAGGCCATAAGAGTTGTAACTGATACTGCACCTCGTACTTCTTGTCGTCCTCTGTTTGTACGTTTGAAACTATTAATAATTCATGCTGTGTATATATATCGACTATGTCAAATCAAATCAAATCAAAATACTTTTATTCCAAAAATTAAATGGTACAGTAATAGAACAATATATTACATGGAATTATTCCCCCGGATAGACTGTTGATCTGTGATCGGGGGAAGAGTTCTTGTAAACCATTGTTAGCAATATACAAAGTATTTAACATTTGTTCGATGCTATTACCTACATCTACTAGAAATTAAAAAGACAAACACCTTTATAAATTGAATATTAGAAAGGAAAAAACCTAATTTGATTTAAACAAATACGAGAGTCTATAGTAATACATTCAAAAAAATAATAAAATGGATCCTACTTAACTAGAAGTTACTGAAAACGGTAACAAAAACATGGTTGAATTCTGCATCAGCCGTGGCGAAAACATAATAATTATGCTGTGTAAGCTGACTGTATCAGCGCCTCTGCAGCCGCCCACCCGATACGCGCGAGCCATTCGCCAATCCTGCGTTTGTACACAGCAACAAAATTGTATATTTGTTTATATTGATGTATATTTGTTAAAAAAAACACTCGACCTCATTCTCATAAAAAAATCACCAACATCCATATAAGACTCGACATAGAAACACTCTTCAGTTCCCTATCCATAGAACAGTTATTTATGAGAAAGCTCCTTTGTATATGGGTAGGAAGCTATTCAACCACCTCCCTAACCAAATCAAATCAACAGAAAAGATGGATATTTTTAAAAAACTACTTTGTCCTCATTCAGTTGATGAATTTTTTTTGTAACTGACATCACTATTATTGTTGTATTTTAAACTTATGACCTTATTGTTTAATATATTACTAACTACAATGAAATAAAATATATAATATAATGTATTTTGTTGTGAAAAACCTACCTGTCATGTGTTAACTGGTGATGTATCACAATTATGTAAGCTCTATGTGACAAATAAACATTTCATTTCATTTCATTTTCTTTTTCTAGACAAGATATGTTGACGATGCCTATTGTAACTGTGTTATCTAATTGTGAATAACGATTTTTATTCTTGAATTGTTATAGACAAGGGGATCTGTGGAGATGATGAGTTTGAGTGCCGAAATTCTGATTCCTGCATTCCCTTATCTAAGTGGTGTGACGGTGAAGTAGACTGCTTGGATGCCAGTGACGAAACTGAATGTTCCTGCAAACATCGGGTGGAAAAGCATCGACTTTGTGATGGTTACTTTGATTGTCCTTCTGGAGAAGACGAACTTGGATGTTTTGGTAATGTTTAGTTATTTTTAATATGAAAACTTTTATTGCCTACTTAGTTAATATTGACTATCTTACAAACTGCAATATTCATCATGTTGATGTGTGATAAGTCATCGTGGTGAGTGAAGTAAACAACAGCAACAGCAATCTGTTGTTTTGTGTATAGTCTGCCCATGAGATGATGGACCTCCTCACTTTAAACATCTTGTTCGTCACTGTATAGTTGTATAACGTACATTAAACTTACATGGTATGTTTTAGCGAATTTCCCATATAGGCAATAATATATATGTAGAATGATATATAGTTCCGTTAGCACGATTACTAGAGCAAAAATGGTTCTATTTTAATTTCATTTGGCATAAAAATTTAAACCTACATTTATTTGAACGATTTTCCTGAACTAGCAAGATTGGACAATGAAAATGGGGGTTTATGGGGGGTTTTATTGGTTTTTCCCATTTTTTTCCCAGAAAAAGCTAAACATAGAAATTTATTTCCAAACCATTTTGTAGAGCTTAAAAAAAATTAGTATATTGAAACATTGTAATGCACTTACTTATGGTTAAGGAGACAAATTCTAAAAACTGTAAATTAAAAACTCTCAGTTTATTCTTATGGAGAATAAGTTAACTGATGTAATTTGCTTGTTTATGAACAAATTTTCATAAAATTTGGAAAATTTATTTATTTCATACTTATATTATTAACATTTCACTAAAAACACACTGTATAACCTTCCCTATAGCCGCAAACGTAAGTACTCGTTCACAGAGTACTTTGTCTGTTTATTGACTGTGTAATAGCTTCATAACCTGTCAGATATTCTGATACCGTTAAGGCTGCTTCTCAAAAGTAGTGGTAATAATTGAACAGTTTATGTTTCAATTCTAACTCGATGTGTTTACAGGGTGTGACACAGACTCATTCAGTTGTCAAGATTGGGAGAGAGGTAGAGAACAGTCCACCTGTGTTCCACTATCTAAGATGTGCGATAATGTGATCGACTGCATCAACCACCGGGACGAGATGGAGTGCTCCTTACTGTCCGATTCCATCGTTCCACACAAGGTACGATATATAAACCGTTCAACGAGTTATCAAATCAAATCGTCTTTATTCTTTGTATTCAAGTACAAGAAACACACAAGTTTCTTTGGCATATGATTAGTGCCATTACAATATTAATTGTTTAGAGCAGTGGTTCTCACTTCACCTACTTAAGGATCCCCGTAATTAATTATGGATGTAATGCGGACCCCCTACAATTACCCCCACCCCCTACCCGTATTAACCCAATATTTCCCTGCTCATCCTATTCTACTAATTACTATTTAATTACTAATTACTAATTACTATTTAATTACTATTTAATTTACTATTCTGCTAACCTATTTAATATTAAAAAACAATTTTCCAAAATATTTTGTAGATGATTTTAGGTTTGTAGCTGAAGAAAGTGTCAGATACTCACGCCATGCATCATTAACTTTGCGTATGCCTCACCATAGGACCGCAGTTTACGACAGAGCGTTTATTGTAACTGCTTGCCGTCTTTGGAACGATCTCCCTTTAGCTATTAAATCCCTCGATAGTCGTTCCCGGTTTGTGGCAGCACTAAAAAATCTCTATTCTGAACGTATGGCCATGGTAGGTAGGTTTGTCGTAGGGGCCTGTGCGCATGGCGGTCGCTGACTTGTATGTATGTATGCGTGAGTGAGTGTGTGTGTGTGTAAGTATTTTTAAAATTTACTGATTTTTGATAAAAGTTTCTGTATCTATGATTTCTGTTTTGTTTTATTGTATAAGCTGATTATGTTAAAATATTTATATTATGTTTTAAAGTACAGGTTAAGTGTAAGAAAGGGCCATGTGGCCCTAACTTTGCCTGTATAAATAAATGATTTTTCATTTCATTTCATTTCATTTCTCATAGGCATGTGTTAGCTTAATACGTAGGCATTTTGTAATACAAACCAAAATTGTTATTTTCAGAAACAGGGACTTTTGGTCAGTGTGATTAGAAAATAAATATTTTATTAGAATGTTTTCTGCAGACCCCCAAAAGTGAGATGGACAGATTTCTTATAAATAAATTCAAAGTTGCCAATCTATGATGTCTTCATTTTGAAAAATTTCAAAATTCTGTGCAATGATACCTAGCTTTTTACTGCTACATTTTTACATCTCCTCGTGTTAGAGTTTGGATTTCTATTTTTTATACTTTGTATACTGAAATTTACTAACTGTACACAGTAAGACATTTTATTTCTTTAAAGTTCCATTTTGATGATTTCTTACAGTTACATTTTTTTAATGATTCTAATGATTATAGTTTTAAAATTACAAAAATGAATCAGGATTTTGATTCATTAATTCATTCATGAACATAAACATGCATAGAATATGGAACCTGCAGGCTATTATTAAAATTTTAAAGTTTTGGGAGCACCAAAAATTTTTAATGAACAGTTTCAACCATATTGATTGCTGGCCAAAATTAAAAAATTTGCAAAATCAAACCAACTTTACTCATAGAAACACTGTGTAAACTAGTGCATTGAAAGAGACACAGCTTGGAATGTGCTGAGTGTTGTTTAGTCAGCAATGTAAGGCAGGTCAGTTTTGCTACCTCAGTCTGCTTACACATCACTATATCTAACAGAGTGGATCTTTATTTCTTGGCTTTATATTCCTTTTCATTTTAGATTTTTGCTGGTCAAAATTGCTTCAAAAGTTTCAAATGAGTTTGGAACCAACAAACGGTTGATATAACACTTCTTTTGTAAAAGATTATAGCATTAAAAATGCCAGTGAGTTGTCATCTAGTGTCTTTAATACATAGTATTTATTCTGATAGCCCCTGGACTACTGATATAATGACCTTATAGGCTTAACTCCGTTAGTAGTCAAAAAACTTCAATTATTATTCAAAGCTGCATCGTCAGAGCTTTACGTGAAAAACATCAAAATTTACACATAAGACAGTACATAGAGACAACACTGGACATTTAAACACAAAATAACACGATAGCGCTATCATGACACGGCTGTCAGCTGATTTTGTTAAAAAATAATCGGCAATAAGTAATGCATGCTGCATCAAAAACATCTGAAAAAGAAGGAAACAATACAACTGTTTTCACCTCTATGTTCATTTTGACAGACCCATTTTGTGTCATACACCAGAGGGATTCTCCATCACAACTGGAAGGGGCGATGGTACCCAGCATGCACCGGGCCTAAAGTAACGGAGTGGGCGATACAAGCCTGCTTAGCAGACGCCGGACCACTGACTGGGTGAGAAAATAATATTTGTTCAACTTTAAATGATACCATCATACTTCTTAAGAGTTAACCAATCGACCACTTCTAAATTATGGTACATTTCCATCTTCAATATAGTATTCTCTTATGGTATAACTGTAGAAGCCAAAGAGGGGCTTAAATGGAAAAGTAGCATAGTTTGGAGGGGAACAAAGCCCTGGGACGATTGGAGAGCATATTTCAAAGCTTTACACCCTAAGCAATATGGGAGTGCCCTTAGACTATATGTATTGTACCTGGAGTTCAGGGGCCAGGGGCAGGGGGCACTCTCATATTACGAGGGAATAAATATTTCAACCCTTCCATGTTTTTGTTATTTAAATTGCCTATTAATGGTCAAAGAAAATATTGACCCGTATAATCTCCAATCCGACATACAAAAGAATACAAAAGAATTACAAAAGAAATAACCATCATCTCAACTTACCATTTAGAAGACTGAAACTTGCACACAATTGCTACAAATATCTTAGTATTAAGTTTTTATAGCAAATTACCCTTTTCTGTAGTAACTGCTCTTAATGACAAAAATTCAATATTTGATAAGTTCTTGTCATTGCAGGTTTTATAAATAAGTTTTTGAATAAAGAAAGATCAGGGGTACTGTATATTTATAGTAAATTTATTCCATCTCTTGGTCAATGCTCTTGTGGCTGAACGTGAACGACTATATAAAGCTCACAGCTGGTACAATATGCTGTTGAGAGAGAAGGTCAAAGACAGATTCTGACATATAGACTTGATCCGGTGAGACAGTATGGTAGACTTTACTGTTCTGCTGACAACACAGAGCACTGAAGGCCTATTTGTATCCACAAAAAGTGTTTACTGTCTTTAGTTTATATGTTTTGTACGTTCTACTGGAAGTTAACATGGGGAGTTTCTTGTTCAAATGCTTCGTGTCATCAGCTCAAACTCTGTAAGAGGAATGATTAGGGAATGTGATGATCCCGAGGTTATAACCAGATTCTAACTAATGGAAAACAAAATTCGAGAGAAGGTTGAACGGTTGCCTATGGTGACAGCCAGTAGAAGAACTAGTGCTTCTCGGTTGTTTCACCGAGGATGAAATCCGGTACCGAGCTGTCATCAAGGACCAAAAGTTTGTTTGTGTTTGTTTGTTGGCAAAATTTAGTATTAGTGGTTTAGTTTTTTAGTTTTGTATTAGCGGTAGGTTTATTAGTGTAAATCTGGTACTAAGCTGTCATCAAGGACCAAGAGTTTGTCACTGTGTACAACGTTCTACTATGCCAACTCGGAAGCACTGCCAGCGAGACTGAGGAACATGAACGCAGAATAGACGGAAGTTCCCGCGCAGGCCATTCAAGTGAGGTTCATTGATGTGGTGAAAGGGCCAAATTATGAGAAAGAAGTTTTATGCTTACAGTTCCATCTGATAGTTTGGCCCTTCCAAAACATCAAGTCACCATCCAGCTTTTTCAAGAACCCAACCTACACCATGACCATAGAGACAAGATTTCCAAGCTTTCAAGAAGAACTAGAATATCTGTTAGACAGTGGCATTTTGGCCAAGGAGTAAGCCTAGAGGGAAAATTTAGTATTAGTGGTTTAGTTTTGTATTAGCGGTAGGTTTATTTGTGTAAATCCGGTACTGAGCTGTCATCAAGGACCAAGAGTTTGTCACTGTGTACTACGTTCTACTGTGGCAACTCGGAAGCACTGCCAGCGAGACTGAGGAACATGAACGCAGAATAGACGGAAGTTCTCGCGCAGGTCATTCAAGTGAGGTTCATTGATGTGGTGAAAGGGCCAAATTATGAGAGAGAAGTTTTATGCTACACAGTTCCCTCTCAAAATTTGGCCCTTGCAAAACATCAAGTCACCATCCTGCTGTTTCAAGAACCCAACCTACACCATGACCATAGAGACAGGATTTCCAAGCTTTCAAGTTGAACTAGAATATCTGTTAGACAGTGGCATTTTGGTTAAGGAGTAAGCCTAGAGGGAAAATTTAGTATTAGTGGTTTAGTTTTGTATTAGCGGTAGGTTTATTAGTGTAAATCTGGTACTAAGCTGTCATCAAGGACCAAGAGTTTGTCACTGTGTACTACGTTCTACTGTGGCAACTCGGAAGCACTGCCAGCGAGGATGAGGAACATGAACGCAGAATGGACAGAAGTTCCCGTGCAGGTCATTCAAGTGAGGTTCATTGATGTGGTGAAAGGGCCAAATTATGAGAAAGAAGTTTTATGCTAACAGTTCCATCTGATAGTTTGGCCCTTCCAAAACATCAAGTCACCATCCAGCTTTTTCAAGAACCCAACCTACACCATGACCATAGAGACAAGATTTCCAAGCTTTCAAGTAGAACTATAATATCTGTTAGACAGTAGCATTTTGGCCTAGGAGTATGCCTAGAGGGAAAATTTAGTATTAGTGTTGAGTTTAGTATTAGCGGTATGTTTATTAGTGTAAATCTGGTACTAAGCTGTCATCAAGGACTAAGAGTTTGTCACTGTGTACTACGTTCTACTCTAGCAACTCAAAAGCACTGGCAGCGAGACTGAGGAACATGAACGCAGAATAGACGGAAGTTCCCGCGCAGGCTATTCAAGTGAGGTTCATTGATGTGGTGAAAGGGCCAAATTATGAGAGAGAAGTTTTATGCTACACAGTTCCCTCTCAAAGTTTGGCCCTTGCAAAACATCAAGTCATCATCCAGCTGTTTCAAGAACCCAACCTACACCATGACCATAGAGACAAGCTTCCCAAGCCTTCAAGTAGAACTTATTTATTTATTTGTTTTATTACAATGCTGCAAAATAGGATAAACCCAGTTACATTGTAAAAATGTACATAGTCACAACACAAGGTTTAAGCATGAAATTGACATTCCTTTTTGTAGATTGGCCAAAGCAGCCAAAAGCTCTAAAGTTATAGGGCATAAACTTTACAATGTAATTCCTCAAAATGTTAGGAATATAGAACCCTAATTTTAAAACTGTCATAACAATAGTCTCTTAAGGACCCTCTTTATGCTGTTCAAGAATTTCTACATTTTAATGCTACTGATCTTAGTGATTTTATAGATTGTAAGTAACATGCATTGTTATTCAACAAATTGTTTGATTTTATATATATATATACTAGCAGAGTACCCGTCATTCGTACGGGGTTGGCGTATAAGTATAAAATGCTTATTGCAGTTATACTCGTGCTTTGCGTTTGCAATGGGAGAGGACACAGTTTAAGAAAATTTGGTTCTTTTAATCCACGGTATGCTGTATAGTATAGCACATCTACCATAGCCATTATGTTCTACCACTGCTTCTAAACAATAAAAAAAGTGAAATTGTCATTTACACAGCTTTTTGTTGCTAGTTGGTTCAAATTAGATGTTGTCATAAATGAAAAAAATGTATAGTGTTCCACCCAGTTGGTAAACCTTATAACTTTTTAAAGCTATTTAATATCATAGAAGCAACTTGTGTAGTTGAAACGGCTGACAAAACTCTTTTATTCCTTTTAAATATCGTCACAAGGGGTACTCATAAGGTTAACATGGTAAACCACTGGGCTGGAGCCCGGAATGATTTTTGAAATAAGAATGTGGCTATATGTTAATCGTGAATGTGAGCCATTATCACACCAAATTTCAGCCCAATCCGACCAGTATTTTTCGTGTTTACTTCTCACAAACATCCATCACATAGGGGGTAAGCGGGGGGAATTGGGAGGTATGTTTTACAAATGTATCTGGTTAGGCCACTTTTCCTATTTTTGTTGTTAAATGCCTACTTAATTAATTTTATAATACAAAAAGCTATCTTTTTCATGTTATATTTTTTTCCCGCAGTTCCCAAAAAAAAAATTAAAAAAATTAAAATGTGTTTTACCACCCAATTACCCCCATGGGGGTAATTGGGTGGTAGGTCAACAATCCATAAACACTAAATGCTAATTAAAGTTGGGAAATTGGGTGTTATAAAGGAAACTAAAAGCAACATTTTTTAACTAGGTTTAATAAAAAACAAACAAAATTTACCATAAATTTTGTGGTGACAAACATATTTTTCCTGAACTACGCGCATTAAAAAAAATCTTTAACCACAATTAAATATTATGGCCTACAGCTTTTAAATTCATAATATAAAGAGTACATTAATAATATTAACAGGAAAATAGGGACAGATTTTTATCTAATAAGGTTTAAATTATGTAATATGGTCTCAAAACTTTAGAAAATGAGGCACGATTTTCCAGTCCTTCGCACGATATAAAAGAAGGGATGCTGTATAAACTAAGTAATGTAGGCCTAATGCACTAGTTTACTACATCAGCTCAGTCGCTACTGCAGTCTCTATGCCTATTTAAGTAACTATAATACAATTTTGTGACTTTTTTTAGGTCTTCTGGGTTCAGTCCAATGTGACGTGAACTCACGGGTATTGGGTGGTATAGGGTTAATGGTATTGGTATAGGGGTAATTGGGTGGTAGTGGTGAAATACCAAAACAAAAACTCTAGTGTGAATTATATTCACAAAATATTATTATTATTGCCTTTTTTAATTAAATTAAGCTAAGGAAACAGTATTAGCTCAGTTTTAAAATTTACCACCCAATTTCCCATAAGGGGGTAATTGGGTGGTAACATTTTTGAAAAAAAAAAATTAGAAGTAACTTAGTTTTATTATGAAGATAAGTATTGTGCATGTTCTTTGGTATATTTTTATTCATTTTATGGTGAAAAATAATGTAATTTCACATGTATGAAAATTTTAATGCATTTTATATGAAAGATTGAAAAAGTTTGCATACAACTTTTAGAATCGCGAAATGACAAGGGTCCCTAAAACTATTTCCCTCCTTTAAATGTTTAAAGGCACAAATCTGAAAAGGTTATGGCTTATTCTTGAAGAGATTGGCTGTCCATACATGTCATTTAAATGTTAAAATATCAATAAATAAAAAATATAAAAATTGTTAAAAATTTTACCACCCAATTACCCCGCCCACCCAATTCCCCTCGCTTACCCAATATTAGTAGGATATTCTCAATTAACAAAAGTGATCTCTCCTGTGATATAGGCTAAGTTTTATATGTATGTTGCATCATAGAGTAACCAATCACAAGTAGACTCCTCATCCCATTATAATTTTTGAAGCTTGTTTTTCGTGTCTAGTTCATGTCCAGTGACACTGGGCGTTAGTGTCGACGAAAGTTTGTTTCTATTATTTTAGGGTTAATTTCATTGTGCTTTACTTTTTTTTACTTTGGTTATATAACTAGGGTACGAGTTATTGTTTATGATTATATAGTTTTTTTTAAACAGGGGTTTTTTTTAAATGACTGAAATAACAGGAAACAAAATGGAAAGAAAACACGACCTGTACAGTGGACCGGACAGAACTAACAATAAAATTGGCTTCAGCTGTTCCATAAGGATGAGAAATCTACCAAATTACACAACCCATGTTTACATTTGAAAATTTCTCAAAAAGCACCCCTACCCCCCAAATTGGGCCCTTTTGGGGCATTTTTCAAAATTGAAAATAATTTTATTGGATTTGGCATGTCCAAATTAGGGGGAAATGAGAACAAACAAGTGTTAAAAGCCTTACCTTTGCACACAACAGATATGGAAAGTTTTCAAATGAACACCCTGAGAATATGTTTTATCCATGGTTGCATCCACTGTGATAATGTTGATGACTTGTTACTTTTATGTATTTTATAGCTTTGACAATGTCTATTACACTTCTGTGTCTGATGAAAATAAAGGATTCTTATTCTTATTTTTACTAAGGTCTGAATATGTATATATTAATATATTTATATATTATATATCAATATACTACATTAGATATTCATTGAATCAGATTAGTTCCATTTAAAATTTTTAAGGAAATTTATTATTACAGTAGTGGTTTAGCTTTGTATTAGTGGTAGGTTTAGCATTTCATAGTTTCCTAGTTATTGTTTGGAAATTGACTTAAGTACTTATATTTCATTAGAGATCCGCATATCGAGATGACCTCGACCGAATACCCAGGACCTTACATTATTCCCAACGGACCAGAGAAATTAACACTCAGCCAAATGTGCCGGGATCAGAAGGTGGTTACTTATGTGACCTGTCCCCCCGTGGAGTGCGGCACCAGGGTCTCTCGTCCGATGCTAGACTCATCAGTAAGATGGCGTGAGGCGAACCAGCGACAGGCAAAGATGCAGTTGAGAACTGCGGAAACTAAAGAAACCTCTGCGTCTGCAGGAACAGAGGAAGGTTACTGCAAAAGCTGCGGACCGATTGCTGGAAAATCGCAAGAGTACCGAACACAGTTTGAACCCGAGGAAGAGCGACTTCGATGGACCAGGGATGCTGACGATATTCTGGGGGTGAGTGGTTTTTACCCTTATTAAGGGTATTCTATTAAATTGGGAAATTTTTAGATAATTTATTTAATTAGGGAATAAGCTGTTGCCGTAGATCTCATGGTAAGACTAAGGACCAATTTCCTTTTTCGTCCCCAGAGTCCAAAAACACCATCTGTTCAAATTCATACTCATATATGTGTTTGCACAATAACTCGAATAAAAATAATCCAATTTTGATGATTACGAAGGTGTAAACTAGTGATGGGTCGGTACTAAACGTCAAATGTCGGTTCCACCAGTTCTTGGGAAAAGTACAGGGACAGAGAATCGATGGTGAAATGTCGGTAGCGATACCTTCGGTACCAAGTTAATCGGTTATATTTTTCCACTTTATTACCATCCATGTAGCAGCGAACTTTAGTACTTGTTATATCTAATGTTATTTGAATAGGGACTATGTCATTTCATATTTAAGGACTTATTCAATTGAAAATCCAATCAGGCAAATGGGAAATCCCTTAGTCTGGAGGTTTTCTGTGAGATATTTTTGAATTGAAAAGTAGAATTATTGTTCAGCATTCAGTGAACCCATTGTTCGAAAGGAAGAAGGAGTGGTTTCCTAAGTTACCTAAGAAAAGCTTAAGGTTCCCTGAATTCCAGGTATTTGAGAGTTCACAGTAATTTCACAATTATTTTGATACATTTCTTGGGTAAGGTAGTTATGTATCCATTCATTCTTCCTTCATGTATTCTTAAACTTCTGATAAGTTCTCCACCCTCCAAAAACCAACCTTAGATGCAAGCAAATAATTATATTTAAATACCTGCATGAAGTTCAAACATGTTTAATAATTTTAATAGTTGTTTTTGAGACATCGGATTTTTGACATCAGATTGAGACACAGTCAAAATTATTCATAGACTATGAAGAATCTACCGTTAATCATTTTCATTCCGTTGTATAGTTAAAGAGGCGGTTATAAGCTTTAATTTAGGTGAGTCGGTGGCTCAGTCGGTAGCGTCACAGACTTCGGGCCCAAGGAAGAGATGTCGTGGGTTCGGATCTTTGTCATTGCCGTGAACATTTTATCACTAGTTTATCATTAGTTTACCTTCGTACCAGCTCACCCCTTGTTTTGCTGGATACATTTCACACGTGGACAAATAGTCTATGTGGACGGGCAAATGCAAGGTAAAGGGAAAGCCAACCTTTATTGAAAATATCAATGATTGTTGACAAAAAAAATATATAAATTGTGTGAAAAATTTATCATTGACACAAAAATATATATAAATTGTGTGGAAAATTTATCATTGACACAAAAATATATATAATTTGTGTGCAAAACTATTTTAAAACTTTTTAGTTTGAATGATAAAATTATAAACAGTGTTAGAGGTGCTCCCATTAGGATTTTGTACTACCATTTCAAGGAAATTAAACATTTATTATGTGCTATCTGTTGATACCCAAATCCATGCATAGATTGTTCCATTAACAATCAATTAGAAATAGTAACTGAATGATAGTTTCGCAATAATCCAAACTGATAAAACGTCCAAAATGTAAACAACTATAAGTTTCAATATTTAGATTGTAACAATTTCATGATAATCACGCCATCAGTTTCTTGTCATCATCAGTTTCTTTAGCAATGTCAGTGTTCTAAGTGTGCTTGCTTATAAACCTCTTCCACTCTTGTCTTTCTAGAAAGCTTTTACCTCTTCCATTTTCTTTAGAAGTTTTAATTTTACCATAAAGTCCTCTTATATTATGGAGTCTTGCTATAATTTTGTGGTCCTCAAAATCTTCTCATTCCTTCAAATTCTCTATTGAGCTTAATTTTCCAAATCCTTCATCAATAATTTTTACTTACTTACTCTTAAACTGTGACCAATGAGTGAGCAATCTTTGGCCTTACCAACCATGTGCCTCTAGAATTATTGATAGTACATTGGACTTCTAGGCTTCTGTCAGCTCTAGGTCTGTTCCTATTCTTCTTAGGTCCAACCTTGTCAACCTATTGTACCCTTGGTTTTCCCAGTGGACTCCTGCGCTCCGGAGTACCTCTTAGCACCTGCTTTACCATCTCTCTCTCTCTCTCACCTCTGCCATGAATGTGGCCCAGACATATTAACCATGCATTATTTTATACTCTTTACCACTCCTACAGTATCTGGTTCTCTAAAAAAAATATTCTCAACCCTCTATTTTTTTCTAATTCTCCGTGAATGTCCTTCTTTAATTGTTCCAAAGATGCTTCTCAATAAAAGACTAGGTCTTTTTTTGTGAAAGACCAAGTCTCTGCGTCTCTAGTCTGGTTGTACTACATCCATCTTTTTTACCTGAAACTCACAATTTTCATGTATTAACCTATATTTCTTGCATTTACTGTTCATTACCTGTATATTTCTTTGTGATGATTTGATCCTGGTATTTCCTGTGCAGGTGGTCGGAGGAAGGATAAGCCGATCTCACTCATGGCCTTGGCTGGTCGCTCTTTATAGGGATGGAAGATTCCACTGTGGCGGAGTCATCGTCAATGAACTCTGGGTTATGACCGCTGCTCACTGTATGGACCAGTAAGTAATTAATATTATCAGTGTTTTAGCAGTACACAACTGTGGGAATCCATGCCATTAAAATTCCATCCTTATCATACAAAAAAACAAAAGAAGGCTATTTGTGTACCGTAATGATGAAACTGCAAAATGAGATTCAGCTTAGAGACATTTACTGAATTCAAAATCTTAACAGTATATAATCTGTATGGTTATAAAACATTTATTCATGCAAAAAAATCTATTGTCATCCACTTCAAGCAATACTTGTGACTACAACACTAGATTTAAAATTAATCTACCACGACATAAACTGGAATTCTTTTAAAAGGGTTAACTTTTTTGCAACATCTATCACCTCCTATAAAGAGGGACGATTATAAAAATAAATTCAAAGAGACACTTTAAGATATTGAAATTAAATTTCCTTTTAATAGAAGACTTTTAAGCAAACAAAAAACCTTAAATTGAATTTTAATTCTATAAGTAAATAGGAGAACTTTTTAAATCTGCAGCATGTTTAGAAATACACATTTTCTTATTTTATTTTAACCCAATTACTTAATGTGTATTCATTTACTGCTTAATTTTATTATGATTGAAATATAATGTTGTCTCTTCTCCATGTATTTTTTCATTTTTTAATAATTTTGTTTACAGTAAATCTTATAATATATTTTAAGGAAGGGTCACAAATCGAGTTATGTAATTTTTCGAGTGAGGCTCGAATTATCAAGGTGTTAAACAAAAAAATCAAAATACTGAGGTGCGAGATATCAAGGAATTTTAGATATCAATGTTCAAGTTATTGAGGTTCTACTTAAGGATTACAGGTTATACTTACAAATAGAGGTTATGTGAAAGAAAAGTAATTTGGATATAACTGTTCCTCTCAGTAGTTTATTTGTGGGCTGTCATAGAAGAGAGCAATTGAGGTAAACATTATATTCTGATCAAGCTATGATCCTTTAACAAGTTAAGTGATGTTGCACGATGGCCGGCCGCAGCCGGTGGTTATTGCGCTGTGTGTTTGAGTGTACATAAAACGTTTAAATTTTGGTTCATCCAAATGAGAGGCATATTATAGCATGAACTGTGTTCCAGTTATTGTGGACGTAGTTTTACAAGGACCCAAAAGAGTTCTGTTGGGTTACTGAGGCACAAAACAAAACTGCTAGCAGGCCCTCAGTATGGCCAAATAATCAGGGGTGAAAAACCTGGATACGCCATCAAAAGATACCGCAAAAAAGGCGTTAAGCAAAATTTTGAGGTTAGGTTCCTTCCACAGTGCTACACTACAGTAATCATCATTATTCTAAGCAATTTCACTAAATCCAAGACAGAACTCCACACTAAATTTGGAACGGTCTCCACCACCGATGAAATTGTTGGATCTGAAAACAAATTATAGCGAATTAAAGAATAAAACTGACACAACAAGCAGCAAGCGAAACAACGTTCTCCGTGCTAGGCTGAGCTCACACTTGATCAATACTTCAGAGTTAGGAGTGCTACATAGTTTAACATAGTCTGCCGCCCTCGCCACTCCCGCACTATATTAATTATTAATGTCAGCCGCACTAAAGGTGTTAACAATTAAACTGATGTTTTTCAATGTTGTTACAGGTTCAAAAAGCATTACTTTGAGGTGCAAGCTGGAATGTTGCGCAGATTCTCCTTCTCACCTCAGGAACAAACACGAAGAGTCAGTCACGTCGTTCTACACAACCTCTACGACATGTATGATATGCAGAACGACCTTGCTTTGCTAAGGCTGGGCTCCAAACTCAAGTAAGAATCAGTGTATATATTTCATAAGCTGTACATTAATAATCAATTAAACTCTGATGGTCTTAGTACTCTCTGAGTTTTATTATTATCACAGAGAAGTAAAGTACAGAGGAAACCTTCAACGGCACACTTAAGTGGTGTCTAGCACCAGTGCTGGTGTCTAAGGAAAAGTCCAACATTGCCCCCCTCGCTCTCATGTATTACAATGCTCACGGTGGAGGAAAAACCTGTGTCCTTTGTGATAGGAATTTCCGCACATTGCTCGCTGCTCGGGCTTCCTTGCTCGTCACAAGTATATTTCTAGCACAACATACCAGAGCTGAAAGCGCATGGTCGTCCCATAAGCGTGTTTCCTCTGTACCTTACTTGTCCATAATATTATTTAAGCTTCAATTTTAGTTTTCAAGTTTATGGGATTACAGTAGTCTCGATTATGGTAACTTCTGTAATTCGACCTTCCATCTTATCGGAACTTCCCTGCTAACAATTGAGTGCTATGTGATCATGTTCTATTTACATGTGACATGACTGTACACTGTATCAGGTGCGGGAAGATCAATCCTTATGCTGCCCCTGATTGACTCGAAAGATACGTGCGAGGCTTTAGGCGAATGCACTCCACTGTATTTTGCCATTGTTTTTTAACCCTGGATACACTCTACTCTTGGTTATTCAAACATTCGTTAAATCAAAACTTTTGATAATTCAAAATAAAGCTCAGTCCCTAGAGAATCTCTTGATATTTCAAAGTTCTAAAATGTTTTTTTCATACAGTCACCAGACAAAGTTGGCTTCCTTGCACAGATTATAGTACAGAAAGCCTTACTTTGGCGCACACCAGTATTGTTTGTAACAGTCTTACGTTGACTTAAGTAAGTTGCAATTGCTATTCCCTTGAGTCAAAGTTCAAAAAATAAAATAATTTAAATTTGAAAAGGAGGATAGACTCATATGTGAAATCACTCATACGTACAGATCAAAGAAACCTGATTTATATTAACAAGTTATCATTATCTGGTAAAAGGTAAAAAAAAAACTGTTTTTTAACTGCAATTGTTCATTTATTGGTTGTTCGCCCCCAGGTACAATCGGTGGGTCCGCCCCATCTGTCTTCCCCAAGAGGACTTATCCCAGTACGGGCCACCCCCAGGCTCTCTGTGCACAGCAGTGGGATGGGGAGCGACCAAAGAAGGGGGACCAGACCGTGAGTTATCAGCCTTTAAATTTACAAATGACCGAAGTTATAATATTTTAGTTTGTGTGTAGAAGGTGTCCAAAAGACCATATGGAAGGTGTATTTCCTCAGATCTGCGACAAGATTGTTCAATCCAAGAGTTCTACCAGTGGCGAATCTAGAATAGTCACAAGGGGGGGGGGGGCGAACTGTGGGGGGGGGGGAGTTTGGGGGTACTATGAAATAATGAAATAATCAAAATTTAATCAAAATATGTCCATAACCATGCAAACTACAGTTTTACATATTCTTCATAAGAAAAACATGAGAATTTTAAATTTACAGATTTTAATAAATTTTCTCCTTAACCATTATGGGCATAGCATCGCTTCAATATACATAATTATTTGTTTTTATTAAGCTCTACAAAATGGTTTGGGAAGAAATTGCTAAATTTTATGTTTTTGGGTAAAAAATGGAAAAACCAATTATTACCAGTAAAACCCCTTGTAAAAACCCCGTTCCCAAAGTCTGACCATGTTGGTTTGCAAACTTGTTCGATGAAATGTGTATGTTTACACGTTTATACCTAATTTCATCAAAATTGGATGATTTTTGCTTGAAATATCGGGCTGACAGACACTTGCCTCTTGGGACCTCAAAACGAAAAAGTAAATCGGTCCCAGGTCCAGGTCTTACCATGAGACCTACGATAATAGCTTAATCCCTATATGGCAAATTTGCTAAAATTCTAGTTGAAAGGAGTCAACTTTATTATTCAGAGAACGATGTCTAAATCAAATCTTCATCTCTCTCTGCGTTCTTTGTTGCAAGGATCCCTCACATCCCATTCTCTATGGGACTGTAAATCAGCTTAAGATTGTTTTCCAAATAATATAAGGTTTTTCAGTCTAGTTGATCATTGTCTATATTTTTGACCTAAGACTACTGATATTGACTATTATAGTTTGCCAAAAATTGTATAGATTGTGTCAGAGTGTCGAGTTACCTGTGTACAAAAACTCTTCCAGACTAGCTTTTGTAGTTTGTACAGTCATCCCAACAATTAATTGCAATTGGATTAGCGTCAAGTCGTGTGACTCAGTGTTGCTGGGAGCCTTTCGCTCATACCTCCCTACACGACATCCTGATTGACACGATTTATACCATTTAAAGCATCCTCTGATTGTTCTTTTCTCGTGATGTCAGTAAGAATCCACTTGTAAGTAGGTTTTACCAATGCTTGAACTAACAAGTTACATATTTCCAGCTGATGACCTCCACGAGGTGAATGTCCCGATCTTGCCGTACTGTAAACACCGCTCGGACCAGGAGGGAGCTGGCCTATGTGCTGGATATCTACACGGCGGCCATGACGCTTGCCAAGGGGACAGTGGGGGACCTCTACTGTGCAGGTAGGTTTGACCTTGCAATAGCCAAGGCGAAATTTTCTAGTGGCAAAACCAGTCACTACAACAATCCTACCTCAATAGTAGCTCATCTCAATCAAAACCTGACTCACTCAATAACATACCCTGAATCCCTTAATATATTAAACAGAATTAACTCAAAAACAATAGCCCAAACACTCAAAGGCTACTAAATATATAAACAAGTAAAAAATCTAAAAATATTACCATAATTCCATAATTTTCAAAACTATCTCTCACATATAAATCAGCTCCAAATGACCTGGCAACCCTGGCCAAGAACTGGCAACAACTCAATACATGGAAAACCCTATTCCCAGCCACAGTCCAACCGTATTCTTTCTAAGATTTCAGATTTTTTGAGAGGATAGCAAGCTTACCTGACTGGGAAAGGGTCCAAACTGGCACAAGAAACCCAAAACTATACACTATATACAAAAAACATTAGAATATTTCACTATCACTGACAGCATTTTCAACTTAGTAAGATAGAGTGTTCTTTAGGTCAAATATCACATCATATTCTTTCTAAAATGAGGCAACATGAAATATGTAGTGTGAGCTTCTTAAATTACCTTCAGCTACATAGCTAAATTCTCCTTCATAATATTTTGGCGAACTATTCTGCATGATTGGGCTAACAAAGAACTTAGAAAAGTAATCTTGATTTACCTTACCTCTGACTATTTAGTTTTAACATTTTAGATTCAATTAAAGCTCAAAGCGAGTCTCAGATCATAAGGAAATCTCAACCAATAATTCTTTAAGATCTCAATACAATACAGTACAGAGAAATAAGGTACACAGGAAACACGGTTATGGGAAGATCGTGCACTTTCAGCTCTGGTATGATGTGCCGGAAATATATTTGTTACGAGCAAGGAAGAGCCCCAACGGCAAACACAAAACATTCTATCATACAGGGCACAAGGTCTTCCTCCACTGTGAGCATTGTAGTACATGAAGGCAAGGGAAGTGATGCGGGGCTTGGCCCTAGACACCAGCACTACAGTGCTAGACACCACTTAATTGTACCAATAAATGTTTCCTCTGTATCTTACTTCTATGTGAATACAATGAGACATGCCATTGATCACAGTACAAAACATATACACTTTACTGTATATAAAGTTGAGGAGCGAGCTGGCGTAGTGGTTAGAGCGCGGGACTTCAGTCCCTGAGGTCCCGGGTTCGATCCCCGCCAAGTCACCAATGGATTTTATCTAAGTGATGATGCCGCAACCCCTAGATCTAGCCTGAAGTAATGTGAAAAACAATCCCAGGCTTGTGCCTAGCGTCCTAGGAAAAAAAACTGTATATAAAGTGAGAGAATAAGCTGGTCTAGTGATAGTGTGAGGCTTCGGTCTCGAGGTCTTGGGGTCCAGTTCTGCCAATTACTAGTTAAGTGATAATGACACAATCCTCTGGACCTAGCCTGGGGTAAAGTGTAAACTGCTTCCGGGCTTGAGCCTAGCATCCTTAGATGAAGGACATAAACAACTGTATAATGTAGTGGTGTTTTGACAGACTGCCAGGTGAAGAGGACCGATGGTACGTGGCTGGAGTAGTGAGCCATGGGGAGGGTTGTGCTAGACCTAACGAGCCAGGAGTCTACACCCGAGTATTCCTCTTCCTTGATTGGATCAAGAGTATAACCAACAATAGAGGTAAAATATTATTTAGCTATAAACAACATAGATAAGCAATGTGTTATCATTATCCAACAGATAATTGCGGATATTCTCCATCACCCTTAGTAAAAACAAAGGTTTCATGGCATGACAAAGTTTCTTACTGGTTGTGACAAAAAATGTCCTTAATAATCTGTTGGATAATGTAAACTAACCATCACCAAAAATAAACTTCATACAAAGAATGTTTAATCATGTAAGATCTTTATAACTGTTTGTATTTAGCTTTGTCAAATTTTGCAAAGTAGCTTACTGTAAAGACTAATATTCTGGTGTGAAGGGTTCCTCGCATATGGCGAAGATACACCATTTTTCTTGTGTTATGTTGGGGGTTTTCAGTAAGTGCAACCTCAGCTTTACCCAAAAATGTTACTGAGCACAACCAAAGGTTTATCCAGTGAAAAAATCCCTTAGACTGATTGCAAAACATTGGATAGGCCTACCCGGTTTGTTGAGTTTTACAGTAAAGACATTTATCAATAATATTTTATTTTCTTTTTCAGGTGCCCTATCCCCATCCCTGATGCCCATTCAGAAGTGCCCAGGGCTGCAATGCAACTCTGGCCGACGCTGTGTCTCCTACTCTCGGCTGTGCAATACCAAACCTGACTGCTTCAATGCAGAAGATGAAACGTTCTGTGAGGAAAATTACTTGAAAGCCACAAATAATGGAACCTTTGGTAGAGATAATGCTGCTACTCAAACCACACCCGACCCAGCCTCAGACTCTCAACAAACAGGACGAGAAAGGAATTCAGAAGAAGGCAGAAGTCAGATGCTGGAAGCAATAGATCCAGAATACCAGGAATCTTCCAAAGAAGAAAATGAAAATGAAAATTTTGTAGAAAATGCTAACCCCGAGGATCCTAGGCTAGAAGAAAATTATGAGGATAAAATCACAATCCATGAAATATTTAATGAGCCATATGGAATCAAGAGCTACGATTATAAACATCAAACTGTAAATAAAAATCCTCACGAAGAAAACTCAAACAAAGACCTGATTGCAGCAAAAGAAGGTCAGGTCGCAAGCTCCAAAGAAGTAGATCAAAATGAAAACGAATCCAGTTTTGGAAGAGCAAGCAATAATGAAGAAAACAAAGAACCTGATGATACATTCACTCATGAAAGTGCTTTCCCGTACTCTCATGAATCTATTTTAGAAATAACTGATGAAGAAAACTGCCACTCAACAAAGTCACAATTTTCTGAGAAAGGAGATGGAGATGATGGCATTGGTACTTCCACTCCTAACACAGAAACAGTTGCTACTACTTCATTGGCAGATGAGGAAACCTCTACTGTTCCTCATCAATTCTATCCTGAAAGTACAACTTTGAGTATATATCATAACGAAGACACCCAGTTGATCAATGAGCTAGTTCATCTGTACAGCAATTTATCAAAGCCAGAAGATGATTCAGGTGACTCTCACAGTGTGAATATTCCATCTTACCTTGTTCCCATAGTGTTTGCAAATGCAACTTCACATAGAAAAGACCATCATGAAGAACACAAAAATATAACAAAAATCCTGCATAATATTTCAAGAAGTTCAAACAGTGGAAATGAACATGATTATTTTAAATATACTGTGGAAAACAATGATGGTAAAGTAACTATTGAAAAGGAAAGTGAAGATGAAAGCACTACGGCTGACATGAGTACATATAAACCTCATTGGAATGAAAATGAACATGAAAGCACTACGACTGACATGAGTACACATAAACCTCATTGGATTGAGAATGAACATGAAAGCACTATGGCTGACATGAGTACACATAAACCTCATTGGAATGAGAATGAATATGAAAGCACTACGGCTGACATGAGTACACATAAACCTCATTGGAATGAGAACGAACACGAAAGCACTACGGCTGACATGAGTACACATAAACCTCATTGGAATGAGAATGAATATGAAAGCACTACGGCTGACATGAGTACACATAAACCTCATTGGAATGAGAATGAGCATGAAAGCACTACGGCTGACATGAGTACACATAAACCTCATTGGAATGAGAACGAACACGAAAGCACTACGGCTGACATGAGTACACATAAACCTCATTGGAATGAGAATGAACATGAAAGCACTACGGCTGACATGAGTACACATAAACCTCATTGGAATGAGAATGAACATGAAACCACTACGACTGACATGAGTACACGTAAACCTCATTGGAATGAGAATGAGCATGAAAGCACTACGGCTGACATGACTACATATAAACCTCATTGGAATGAGAATAAACATGAAAGCACTATGGCTGACATGAGTACATATAAACCTCATTGGAATGAAAATAAACATGAAAGCAATATGGATGGAGTGAGTACTGTTAAACCTCACTCATATGGTAATAAACATGAAAATACTATCGGTGAAATGAGTTCTACTGAATCTAACTCATATGAAAATGCACAAGAAACAACTACGGATGGAATGAAAACATTCAAACCTCACTCATATGAAAATGTTAAACATAAAACTCTTTCTTCTTACACAACAAATGACGTTGAAACAACTACCCTGGCTATAATCTCTACCACTGTAAATCAAATATCTACAGAATCAGTGGAATCCTTGGATAGACTAAAAAATGATAACGGTTTCAAAGAAAACAATGAAACAAGTTCGATAGCTGAACACAGCAAAGTTAAAACAAACGAAACAGTAGACTATGAAAGCTTCTGCAAAGCCTACATGTATGGTAAACAAGAAAAATCAAAGAATGCAAATTCAACAGAAGACGTTACATTGCGATCTTTAGATAAAGAAATTATGCATGAAAATATCCCAGATTCCACTGTCAAACCAAATGAAATATTGAATACTACTAAAGAAGTGAAAAAAGTCAAAAGAAACAGCTTGTTTGTATGCAAAAGGTAAGAAAACCCCTTTCATTGAACGTTTTGTTTGATGCAATTGTTTCCGTTTATGTTTTAATTTTTTGAATTTTATAAATAGAATTAAATAAATAAAAACATTTAATTGATAATTCATTTTGTTCAGATGTAAGCAAAATATGACTTAACAAATTTTTAAGGGAATAGAGAGATAATTTGGTAAACTTAACTTTCAGTTTTGATATTCATTTTGAAATATGTTTTTGTTCCAACAAGTTTTATTTATAAAGTACAAGGTGTGAAATTTAATGTAATACTAATAAAATACATAAACCTATTACGAATCCATATTAGTAAATCAAGTCAATCCCAATGAAACAAAGTAAAATAAGCATTCCTGTTATTTGTTACTGTGTTGTTTTATTTAAGAGTTAAATATTAACTTACAATCAGCTGGTTTAAATACAAATAGATAATTTTCTAGACATCAATGGAATTATCAGCATTTTCTTAATAGAATGCATTTGGTAAAAATTTTAAATTTAGATACCAATCAGAAATTTCAAAGCATTAGTAATCAAACAATAAAAAAAATAAAATATACTAATGACTAAAGCTGTTTTTCAACCAAAATTCTACCTTTACTAACAATTCATTATAGGCAACGAAAAATAATGTTTACGCCACACTACATTATTTTGACGAACTTCCGACGCAAGGATTTAGTCCAGAAAACAGCTGTTTGCCGCCAGCTTATTCAAATGGGGTTTCATTGCGTACTACTGTGCTGTAATGAGTTTTGCCGGACACCAATCAGCTGATTATACTATATTTAGGTGGCAATGAATGGTTATTAACAAAAACATAACCTCTCTTAGAGGTTATGACTAGTGATTTTTAGTCTTTTAATTGGTGAAAATATATTAGGATTTGTACAGATTTGGTAGTATGGCGTAAACTATCGTATGTAACTCGTCCAAAATGTGTGTATCGGACTCGTATGGTAATCCCGTACTCGACTTCGTCTCGCACGAGAACGACCACACTCGTCCGGTAAACACTTATTTTCAGGACTAGTAACGTAATATACTATTTCATGATAATAGAATCCTTCAAGCAAAATGTTTTATTTGCCTACTATTGCATTTCATTTAGGTATTTATTATCAAATGATCCTTATTCTTCTCATTGTAATGTTTCAGATACAAACAGCCGTTGCTAAGGAAGCGCCGTTGCGACGGGGTGGTCGACTGTGAAGACGGTTCAGATGAAGCCAAGTGTTCGTGTAAAGAGCGGCTTTTGAATCACAACTCTAGCTTGAATTGCGACGGCCGAATTCACTGCTACGACCAATCCGATGAGAAACACTGTGCAAGTAAGATAACGACTAATATAAAATATATTATTTATCTTGTACATGAAATACAGAAACTGCGTTCACAATAGAAAAAAAACATTTGAAACATTTTAAATTTGCAAGGTGTTATGCAATTTCTCCTATTTTGTAACAACTAATTGAATCAGTTACAAATTACGTATCACAATCTATCTCAGAGAAAGTTCTATCCGGTTTTAAAAGTTTTCCTTTAGGGACTTTTGGACATTTTTTGACGACAGGCAGACTGTTACATTATTTCATTTTGGAATTGTAGTGTATACAATAATAATGTACCATAATGTTGCCATTTTTACAATATTTAGATTTGTGTTAGAAAGAGTTGGCAATATGTTTTGCATTTGTGTCCTGACTGCGATCAGGCGACTGTGACGTCATATCGTATGATTTCAATAAAGCTCCCGGATTGGCTACAACCCCATCACGCCACTTTTCCCTCCACGTTTAACCGCCGATCCAAAGGTTTCCTCGCTCCTCCAGTCCTCAAGATTCCAGCAAACCGTAAACATGGAAGTAACCTTTCCTGGAGGTGAAAACGGGCAAGTACCCGTAGCTCACGGGGACACTCAAGGGCAACGTAACTTTCCGCAGTGTGAGGGTAACGGTTTGTAGGCACTTATGCAAACCAATCCCTGTCTCTGAGCACGGACGGTATGGTTATCTTGAGTGTGGGGGGTTCTTCCCGGAACCTCAATTGAGTCAAGGGTGTCGCCACCTCTGGTGGATAGGTTCATCCGGGTGGGTCCCACTTCTATACCTGCCTCCTTTTGGGAAACCCTGATGGCCTGGCAGTGATGTTGGGTCTGACGGGCAAACGAAGTAGATCGGGTGCTGGGTCCGAGCCCGCCAGGGGTATCTCGGGATCTATCGCTCTGGTTATCTCTGGTTTCCCAGCAACTGGGTAAGGCCTCGATCGGGTAGTGGTGTAAATGGGAGGTACGCTGACGGTCCCCTTCCTTCTGGCTATTGATGGCGGGTTTGCCTGTCAGGGATTAGATAGGTCCCGAGTGTTACTTGCACTAAATGCGTCGGGGCGCTCTACCATGGTCCTCTAGGTCCCGACCTAGTGGAACCCAGGTGGAGTGACGCTTAAACAAGTAGCCGGAAACCCTGGTTAGGATTGAGGGGCAACCCTCTTTCCGAAGGGTCTGCTTCGGCAGCCGGTGAGCCTGATGACCTTAAGTCATCCGCCCATGATGTGCAAAAGGTTGATGCGTAAGCTTCGGCCTACATCATGGGGCCCGGGTAAGTCTCACGACAGGTACCGGGTATGTAGTCAGGGGGCTTCGGCTCTCATGACAAAGAAATAATAATAATAATAATAAATAAACCGTAAACATGTAGTCGGCCGGGTTTTATTTAATTCCCCAAATGGTGTTTTTATTTCAAGTCATTGCACCCCAAACGTTCCAGTGGCGACGAGGATGGGATAGTCAAAATGAAGGCACTAGCCCGTTCTTATCTATGGTGGCCTTCAATAGATAAAGACATAGAAGAACTTGCCAATAGTTGCTCGCAATGTCTCATGGAACGTCAAAGCCCGTCAAGGTAATATTTACATGTATGGGAATACCCAAAGTCAGGGTGGCAACGATTACACATAGATTTTTTAGCTAGGCTTTCCACGGGGGCGAAGTCTAGGGCGCGAGAAAAAATATTGCTAAAAAAAAATTGTAATCTTAAAAGTGTTAAGGAACGCGCCTTGACGGCACGGACCTCGATCGTATGAGGAATCAAAAGAAACCATCGCTGTTTCGAAAAAAACAACCGAGTCAACCAATATGCCCATTTAAACACACATGATTGAAAGTCGTGCTGGCACGATATATCGGCGCTCAGCACTATATTAGGATGAAACGCGAACAACAATATATTGTTCCATAGCACTTTTAGGGACAAAGAAGCACGATTTATCATCACATAGCACTGAAAGGGTTAGGTTGTATAACTCAATTTACTCTGTTCCAGATAATTGCAACAAGACTGCATTTTACTGTCCGAGAAGTAAAATTTGTATTTCTAGAGCACAACGTTGTGATGGCATTCATAACTGTCCTGAAAATGAGGATGAGGAAAATTGCTGTAAGTAAACAACATTGTTTCAGCCATATTTTTATCCATTTCCTTCTTACTCACACATTTAATGGTATATTATGCTTCAAGGCCTGGAAGTAGGTTTATGGTACAGCATGATAGTTCCCGAGCAAGGCTTGCTGAGTGTGGGATTACTTGCGAGGTATTCATGCGTACCTCCCCCTTCCCGGGTGAGTTTTGTATGATACTTTTTCCCCAAAAGTACAAAAATATGTCAAATAACTTGTTATAAATATATTTACACTCATACTTTTAACTCACAAAATGGTAAATACATATAAAAGGTGGTAAGTGGGGATTGATTTCGATTGGACACTCCAATCATCATTAGGCCCGATTGCCTATTTTGTCTGATGATGATTGGTCAGACCTAATGACACTTAAGCAACTATAGATCCTCCATCTTCTGAACCTCGCGCTTCTACGTCTCAATCATCACTAGGCCCGATTGCCTATTGGGTCTGATGATGATTGGTCAGACCTAATGGCACTTAAACAACTATAGATCCTCCATCTTCTGAACCTCGCGCTTCTATGTCTATGGTTTTTTCATCAATTTTTCTCTCTAACCGTTACAAAGAATTTTTTTTTTATGAGATAAGTATCGTAAAACATCATCCCTTTTAGTTGTATTCCTTATTATAAGTTTTCCTGTGGAACTGAAAGACTTAAACAAAGGTATTGAAGAAATGTTTGAAACTGTTTCTAATCACTACTCTGTTTGCAAGACTTAGATAAACGTAAATTTATAGCTAATGTTTAGTAAAACACTTCTAAGTTGTCTTGTAACTTCACTATAACATCATATGATGAATACCATTGATAACGTTATAAATAAAATCATTTTAAATTTGTTTCAAATGTACTTGAGGCGACTATTGGCTGCTGTAAATGTGTTTTTGCCTTTGTAGATTCTCTGATGGCAGGGGACAAAATCAGGCTAGACCGAGCGCTGTTGCCTGAGTTTACGGACGAAGGCATCGTCATCGTTAACTCTCCCTCCGGATGGAAACCACTCTGTGTAAGCCTCAAGTCTGCTCATTCTGCAGCTTACCGAGCCTGCAACGCTTTGGGTTTCAAGTAAGTATAGTTTGTCCGCTAAAATAGAGTTTGAAAATGTTGATATTGGTACAAATGGTGCAGTCCATACTCTACTTCTGGGTATTTGATTTAGAAAAACAGCTGCTTATAAACTTACTACAGTATTGATGTTTACGTGTCCGTTATATCTCGTCATATGTGTGTCAATCGGCGTGCTTTTATGGTATTTAAAAGTGGCCGTGTTTATGGAAGGATTGTGGCATGCTTTCATGCTCACATTGGTGATTTGGTCATGTGATTTATGATCCTAACCAAATCGTTCATGTTGGAAACGATAACTGGACACATTATTTTAAACAGAGGAGACAATTTACCACAATTCACAGTCCCTAAGAGCCAGCTTTGATGATTATTTGATTAATTAAATAATTTTTAATACAGAAATATCTTAATCTTTCAACATGTGGAATATTTAATATACAAGTCAACTGGACATATAACATTTGTACAAATAGCAAGTAAATTATGACGGAATATATGAATTAGAAATTTGGTCTACATGATCTGGAATTAGTTATTAATTATTTATTACTACCCTACGACACAATACCTCAAGGGGGGACCTCCCCCCATATCCCACCAAGTTAGCCCTGCATCTTCACTCGTCGAACGTGGACACCAGACAGCCCAGCCCGTTTCTTCACTCACCTCACTCACCTGCTGCTGCGCATGCGCGAGCGGTCCTGGACTTGAGATTGCTAACTAGGCGGGACATTTGAATGGTTGTGGAGACTGAGCTCCACAGGATGACAAACACAAACGTATTATATAGCCTGAAAATGGCATAAATGTGCCAAAAAAAGAGTTTGGCGGCCTCTTTATACCTTGCATTTACTGGTCCATTTGACCTGCCCCTTGATAATCGAGGTTTTATTGTATTCTCACAATCAAAAATTGGTTTATGTCTCAAATGTAAAACAACATAGATCATACTTCAAAGCAAGTTTCAGATTTCACAATAGAATAAGAAATTTACTTGCAGAATACAAAGTCAATGGTTGAATTATCAATTGAATATGTTTGCCTCCTTGTTGCTTTACTCTTGTTTAATTTTACCACACCCAATACGTTTTCTGTCATTACTGACATGAAAAATGAAGAACTTAATTGTGTTCAATGGAATAATTTAAAATCAAACTACTGACAACTAAATATGTCAATGCTCTTTGGTACTCCTTTTTTCACTTTCTCTTCAATTCGTTCAATTTCGTTCAATTCACTTATTCAGTTTTAAAATTGTTTATATATAAAATTTACCACTACTTTTTTTCCAAGTTTCACCATAGTGATTTTTATAGTCTTATCATTATTTATACACAAATTATTGTGTATCTGTTCCTTCTTCCTTAATATAATAATCCATTTTGTCATCCATTTATCTAAAAGTACAGGGTGGTCATTAATTATTCTACACATCTAAGGTTAAATAAATAAATAACCAAGCAACTTAGGAACTTGGGAATTGTTTCATGAAGTAGCAAATTTAAAACAGCTTCATACAGTTACTGCAGAAAATTAATTATAGAAATGTCAGCAATTATGAAAAGTAGTTATAAAAAGACTGTAAATATTACCTAAACTGTTATGTTTCTTCTTAGGTGAGGACCCTTTACACTATATTTTGGACACTTAGTCATTCAAACTGCCTGAACCACCATTTTATAGAATTGTCACACGTAGAATTACAGTCATACTCTAAACGAAGCTTTATTCAAACAGTTATTACAGATTTACATTCATGAAACCAAAGACTCTGCTTTTTATTGCACACTAGTAATTTGTTACTTAAGTCAGTTTAAGGTTTGATTCATCAATGTCATACACAGCTGGTGTAGAAAAGTCAATTGTTGGTCAGCTGACTATGCCACAACACAAGTCATTGAAAGAAAACATAACTTGCGCTCACAGTTTAGGTGATTTTTACACACTTAACCACTTTTTTAATTACTGACATTTTTATAATAATTTTTTTGCAGTTAGGAGTTTTGAGTATGGAGTAGGAGTTGCCTACTGTATAAAACTATTTTAAATTTGCTATTCAATGACACAATTCCTATGTTTCTAAGTTGCTTGGTTATTTTTTTATATAATCTGAAAATGTGTCCAATAATTTATGACCACCCTTTATCTTTTAATTATGCATAGCACAGTTATGAATGTTAAGACTATTTGCTTTTTGTTGGAAGTGTATGTTTATTTAGGTTTCTTTGTACTTTTTGTAAAAAAATATATTTTTATTTGATTTTTGTTTGTTGCTAACATTGATGTTGAGTGGCTGATCATTGACTTATCCACTTATCAAATGGTTGCTATCGTTATTTCAGCGGTTACGAAAAATATGAACCAGAAGATGTTAGGAACGAAACAAAACTGCACTCCTCCAACGTAAAGAAGGCCCCTACAACATGTTCCGGTCTCAGAGTGAAATGTTCCTTTGGGAGACCTGACCAGTCTTGGGTCGGATGGCTCAAGGTGGAGGGAGAATTTGTAGCTTCCGTTTCTATGGTTCATCCCCAATGGCTACTCTTACACTCATCAGTCTGTAAACCATTGAAGTAAGTACGAGTCACAAGGTCTCATTGGAAACAGTGTGAGTAGTTGAGCTTTACTCTAATAAAATATGACATTAATTAAATTAGCCTATACTTTGGTAGTTCATGTCACAACAACAAAAAAACTATACTCCATTCACAAAATTTAGGTGGTTTTAGGAGAATAAATATATCCCCTACACTCAGTGGAGGATCTAGAACAGCCAAGGGGGGGGGCAAACCAGGGGGTCTGGGGGTATCCCCCCAAAAAATGTATGTAAACTAAGTCTCCAAAATGGCAGTTTTATACCATTTCTTTGTTCAAAGTTAGTGTGACAAACTATTTTACACAATTTGTATGCACTAATGCAGTAAAAAATATATGTATATGTATGCCGAAGGAGGGCGGTCGCCCCCCTCTGGATCCGCCACTGCCTCTACTTGAACCTACCTTTAAAAACAATAGCTCATCAAAAATTAAAGCTGAGGTTTTGCCAAAATATAAATCAGATGTGTCATATATATTAAGTAGAAAAAGTAGTGGGAGAACTTCCCCACAAACCACCCCCTGTGAATGCAGTATTATACTATAAATATTACTATCAGAATATATATTAGGTGGCTTCAGTGGTGTGCTTCACCCTTGTCAAGGGGACGGCTACTGGAGTTGTGGAACACCCCCAAAAAAGTTGGGGGTCCGGGTTACAAATTTCAAAATTTGATATTTTTGAAGCCATTTGGTGATAAAGCCATTTTTAACATCTAAAACTATATAAAAACATAATGTAAATTTTCTAGAGTGCAATTGAGAGGACTTTAGCCTCTATAGCCCCCCCCCCCTTGGAATTGCCAATTGGTGTCTTTGTTTTTTGTGGCTAATTAACTATCTCAAAGTAGCCCAAAAATAATATTCTAGTATCACTCCAAAATAGCGAAACATAATGAATAATATTTACATCTAAAACGTCACTAATAAAGGTAAACATCCAATGAGAGAAGATTAAAATTTGAATATTTTTAAAGTTTTGATTTTGAAACTTGCCAATCAAACCTCAAAATTGAAACTTTTGTAAATTATCAGTTAAGATTTAGATTTTTTACACATCTGAACCGAATAAAAAACCCACTAAGACATCACAATTCACTATTATTTTCTGGTTATTCGTGAGTTTGGGCATGGGCTGTGTCTCTCCATTTCTCCTACCCTTCCATAGTTCAAAATCTTTGACAATAGACAATGTTCTTTATTTACATATTCGTGGGAGAATAGTACATGTGTCAAAACAAAAGATTTTAGATTGTCAAAGTTATAACTTTAATGTTTATATAGTTCGATGGTCAAGCATTGTATACAATGCTCAAGATTTTTTTTTTATATTTGTCAAATAGTTTTTTTATGTAATACTAATAACACTTTCTCTTTTTTACAACAAACCATTTAAACTGTATGGGGAGATTAATAGACGCTTTAAAATATTACATATTTATCATAGATGATTATAGATACCCCTCTGATGAACTGTAATTTGTTTGCAGCTTGAAAAATCAATACACTGAAGTTACCATTGGACAAAATCAAGTGTCAGATTTTGGTGTCAGGGGAGTCTACGAAGAATCACGAAGGATTGACGGCATAGTAACGTCTGATTCTTTGTGCCTTCTACACACTGAAATCCCATTTAATCTTAGCCGTCAAGCTCAACCAATAAAGTTTCCTCTTTTGTAAGTATTAGATTATATTGCTGACACACATTCTAGTATTTTGTTCTAATTTTATTTGAAAAATTGAAGTTTTAACCATAAAAATTGAAGTACTGTAGCTAGTAATGTAAATATTTAAAAGAATTAAAATGTAATATTATTTTTTATTTCCATTCCAGCGTCCAATGTGATTTTCCAACTCATTGAAACACTTGCTTACCTGCCCTCACTTATTCTTGTTACTTTCTTCTTACTTATTTCTTCTGGCATATAATTTACATAACAACATCTAAATTTACATTTAGTTGGTCAATAGACAACAAGACAAGTTCCTTATAGATCCCTAAAACAAGAATGTTTATTATGTATCAATTTATGCAGTTGGTTTTTCCCCATGATGATATTGTAGTCAAAAATCTCCTAAACAATCTGTAAAAATGTATATGAATCCTCCTACTGTAGTTTGTGCCACTTCCTTCTTATTACATTTCTTGATTTATTTTGCTCGCAAAAGCAATGTACTGTATACTTAAGGGTGTAGCATAGAGCACAAGGGCCTAAATCTTTTGAGAGGATAGCAGGCTTTGACATTTTGGACCATTTTGGACATCTAGAAAACTCTCTCTTCCTTAGTTGAAAATGCTGTCAGTGACAGTGAAATATTCTAATGTTTTGTGTATATAGTGTAAAATTTTGTGTTCCTGTGCCAGTTTGGACTCTTTCCCATTCAGGTAAGCCTGCTATCCTCTCAAAAAAGTACTGTATACTTAGATGAAACTTTTTAAATACGGCTCATAATTTACGTGAAAGACATTTCTTTAATCTTACCCGAGCTTCTGAGGATTTAAACATGTTTTCAAACAATACAAAATAAAAAACTATATTCACAAAGTGAAAACCTAAAACAGCATTTTTACGGGTAGAGAATTCAGTAATACCTTTTACATGGAGTATTTCCATAGATCCTTTGAGTTCTAAAAGCTGACATTGGACACAAGACTAACATAACCAAAAAATCAGTTAAAAACCATTTATGAGAATATAACTGAAAAAGATTGAAAGCTTAACTGACCTGGACAGCAACATAGGAGTCAAGATTAGAAATACTACAGTTAGGTTTTGGGTTAATCAGTATAAAGACCCTTCTACTCAATAAAGGAATTTTATGAAAATTAACATGTACAATTCACTTTTGTATTGACACAATTGTAATTCTTAACGAATTAACAATAAAGAATATTGCATTGTATTGTATTGTTAGTAGATCTGGTTAATGGTCAAGTGATGAGAGGCGTTGTTTCTTCGGTTAGGAGATAGCACAATAGATCAAGGGTTCGAATCTTGTCTTGGTCAGTTACGAGGTATTCACCTGTTGTGACAGAGCTGGGAAGTTGACGAGAGGTGGTGTTTCAAACCGGACATTTCACTTTAACATTTTGCTTTTCCTTCTTATTTATGTGTCCACTGAATAATTTGGATATTTTTGCTCGTAAGAGGGGGGAAACATAAAAATATTCATCATCAAACCACTAAACAACCCCAGGAGCTTGGAGAGTTAAAATTTTAAATGATAACTTAGAGGTGGTAATTTTGTTACAGGGACGACAACCACTTGCCCCAGGGTTATTACGCGGTTGTCTCTTCTCCCAGAGGGTTTTACGAGTTGAAATTAAACGAATCACAAATACCACGATGTGATCAAGAGTTATGCTTCAAAATAACTCATAGACCTGCTGAATGTTATGTAAGTACTTTTATCCTACAATTAATAATGATTTAAATCAAAATAACTCTATTTCATTATGTTAACAGAGCTATATAAAATTGAGTCATAACAATTAAACTTAAGTTAATGAAGAAGAAAACATACATATGGTAAAATAACAAGAAAACAGCTGTAATCGAATATGAACCTCAACAAAATAGTGATGTAATTGGTGAGTCACCACAACAAGACCAACTGATGGTTGGGTTGTGCTCAGTGGGTAGCACCACTTTGGGCCCAAGGCAGCAATGTCGTGGGTTTGGATCCTAGTATCTGTCTATACTTTTTATCATTACAATTTGCTCTTTTACGTTCCACGCACTGGTCTGTAGCCTAACCAAATAGGCAAATAGGCAAGCTTAAAAGAGATGTCAACCTTTTTTTGGCATCTCAATACAAAACTAATGTTTGGTAAACATCAATATCAAACTCCATGACAGAGAAGAAATTAAGAGTCAATCAGGTGTTTTTTGCTAAATTTGAAAATCTTGATATTTGTTTCCCTTTAAATTATTTTTGTTTTAAAAAGCTCTAATTTGTGCTGCTCAAAGACTATAATCAAAGTGAAGTGTATCTCCAGTTATTTTAATTTTAAGTGTGTATTTCATCAGCAATGCACTTGATATTAACTCACTTGTGTATAAAAACATGCCAGAAAACTTCAATAAATAATTTAAACAATTTTCTTGACATTCAATAAATAAAACCGGAACTTTCAAGACAACTCCCAGTAGCATCAATGATCTGCGATATTGTTTTAGACTAGAGACTTTTTAAAGGAAAATAGCATAAGCAGCTAACAATTAGATTAGAACTATTTTAGTTTAAAATCAAGTTGAATCAGTTAAGCTTCATTCTGATATGTCTTCCTTTGAATGACAATCAAACGTAACAATTAAAAAGTGCCAACACATATAAGTTCCATTCAGTCAACATAAGCGATACCATCAAGAACTAGGTCAGCAGCCTAGCCACCGAGTCAGCATGTGTCACCTTCCCAACAAATTTGCTGTCAGCTGTTGTACACACACACATCTGGCTACTGGGCATTCTATGACATAACTTCATTGATATCACTATCATAGTGTGTTAAAAAAATATTAAAAAAATTAAGAAATGGAATTTAAGTTGAGATTTGAAAATTGTCCCAAAATTAGTCCCGGTAAAAAAAAGAATCCATATCTGTAAATACAAAATGTTGTTTTCCTAATGAAGTACAAACCATGCCAAAACTAAATCTGCCAGCTTTGGAAAATATCAAAATTTAATAAAAACTTGGCAAATACCCCCTGATAAATTATTACTGAAAAGTTTGACAAAACTAGAAGTTTTGGTTGAATTAGTAAAAAATAAAGCTGCCATCTCCCATTCAAAGGAGTCTCAAACGGAGATACATGTTCCTACGACAAAAAAGCTGAAACTCAAAATTGATATTAGTAGTATATCCATAGCAAGAACTGACAAACTATTAGGAAAGAAAAAGTTAACTAATTGAACTATTCAACCGTATTTTGATAGGTACATTAAATTCTTCCATTCCTCTCAAATCATGCAATAATTGCAATTAATCCTGTAATCAGTCATAAAATGCATTGATGATTTTTCTTCTCGCAATTTATGGAACTGCTTAACCTTGAAAGTAAACATTGTATACTTTCAAAATGATTCAACATCAATGACAAAACAACAACAAAATGATTCATTTGTTTTTGTGTTGTAACATTGTATACCAGTCAATGATTCAACATTTCCAGACCAAGCAGGAGGGGCATTGGAGTGTCCTCTTTTATTCAAAGCAGGGCCACAATTTCTGTCACTATGGCCTTCAAGTCAAGTCAAGTCAAAATATACTTTATTTGTTATATGCTAATGTACATAACATTGAACAGTCGATAATTTCTAAACTACAATGCTAAATCAAAAGACAAACTATGATATTAATAACAATAACAATTCTTAAAAAGAGTAAAGAGCCCTTCCAATAAGATAGTTTTAGAGTTTTCTTTTAAATTTATTTCTATTTACTTCTCTTTCTTCATTTCGTTAGGAATTTTCCTAATAATTATGTTACCAGAAAATAATGGATTTTAAAAAATTCAAATTCTGGCTGTTGTATATTTAAATTTCTATTCCTAGTTGGGTATTGGTGTCGTGAGATGTTTTCGGTCTTGTTTTCCTTGACGGTCATAACGGTATAAAAATGTACTGTCCAAAAACTGTTAAATTTCCCAGGGGCCAGTTTCATTATAAACTACAAACCAATATTATTAGTAAATCAGCTGATCGCCCAATGCAAATATAATGAAAATTACAAGTTACAAGTCAATATTATTTTAATATCTTTTTTTGTACTTTTAAAATCTTGTTTAAGTTTTTTTTACCCATAGAAGGCGATTCCCTAACAGACAATTTTCTATGTTTCTAACTTACTCTCTTGATGATTTTAACACGACCCATGAAGCTGATTAGTAAAAAACAAAACATGTTTCAGGATACTGATACCCAACAAAATACTTAACATGTTAATTGTTTCCTATAAATAATAAAACAAATGTTTTTCAGAATCTTGGTGGCTTTCAAGAAAATGGAGTTGTTATAATGAGCACTGTGTATGAATCATTTGTGGTCTCTACGTTTGATTCGTTCCACATATTTTGCGACCCAATGAGTGAAGTTTGTTTGAAAAGGATTTCTAAATCTTCTTCTGCTATTTTGGGCATTTTAGGTAAAGTATTTTCACCTTTAGTTATACAGTGAAGTATTGTTTCAGAGAGCTACATATTTTGAAAAAGCTGGGTTTTAGATTTTTGAATTCCATTCAAGTTTATGGAGATTACAAATTGGTATGAGGCTATAAATAATAGCTGTAATGTAATAATGCTATGAAGTAATGTGAACTCAATGATTTTGTAAATTGTTTTCATTTAGGTGTTTTAAGCCTGAAATATTCATACCAAAATAGTTTACTACATTGGACGTACCTTAGATAATAAATTTTACTTAAATTCTAAGCAACGCAGATTAATAGTACAGTAGACTAATTCAAAGTTGAAGGGTCAAAGAATTACATTTTCACTATTAAAAGGTTTGATTTATTGGGAGAAGAAGAAACCATTCAAATTACCAAGAGTTCATATTTTTAGTGTATAAGGTTCTTTGTAATTTTGCTGACACCTTGGTCAATCGGATGCAACTTTGACATTGCGTCTGGCAGAAAAGATTTAAGTTTTGTCCATGAAACTTCAAATTACTGTGTTTTAAACCGCCTCCCCCTGTCTGTCCTCTTCATGAACTATGAAATACAGAGTTTTATCAAAATACAGGGTAAAACTTTAAATTTTCAAGAGATTCTCTACGGGCTAAGCTGTCATTTTGAATTATTCAAAAGTTTTGATCCTTCCAATTTTTGAATTACCAAGAAGACTGTATATAGATTGAACATGGGTTAACATTGTCCTGCAAACTGTACCCACAAATATTTTACCAACATGATTCATATGCTACTTTTCTGTGTTAATTTTTTCGTGTTGAGTGAAACCTATCTGGTAAAAAATTCACTCTACACTTTTTAACAACTCTAATTAAAAATCCCACTACCCAAAAAAAGTATGTTCAATGTGCATACCTTTTCTAGAATTGGTTAAGTTGCTGATGCTACTCGTGCTCTCGTGCATACTATTTTCAGTTAGTTATCAAGAATTTTCTGATTGAATGAAAAAAATGTACTTTAAAGTTCATGGCTCACTTGAGGAAAAACATAAAATTTCACTTTGCTCTGTAAATTTTTAGACATATTGTAGACAATAACAAGGGTTTTAACCATTTTAAATGGATAATTCTAGCTTTTGGACAGCAAAAAAAAAACAAAACTGTGTTTGAGAAACTTTAAAAAATTAAAATTGTTTGAGGAAAAGGATGTTTCCCCTTGATCTATGTTTAAAAATATTGGTTTGTCCCTGTAAAAACCTTCCGGACATCTGTGTTTAAGTTAGGGTTTTACAATAATCTTAAATTGCACCGTTTGTGAACCATTGTGAATAAGCAAACACAATACATTTAGGATGATGAGAACTTGAAGAGTAAGTAATATTTATTATTAAAAAATTCTTCCACCATCGACTTTTAGGTACTGAAATAGACATATCATTTATATGGACCAGCTGTTGCCAATGTTTTATTAAAATAAAATAGTATATTCTGTTACTAGTCCTGAAAATAAATAGGTGTTTACTGTTTACCGTACGAGTGTGGTGGTTCCTGTGCGAAACGAAGTTGAGTACGGGATTACCATATGAGTCCGGTAAGCAAAATTTGGACGAGTGATGTACAATATTTTACGCCATAATACTAAATCTGTACAAAGTCCTTATATGTTACCACCGACTAAACGACTAGAGTTCGGCCGCTTAGAAAACGACCTGCGCGCTAATGCTAAACAAATGGTGGAGGAGGTCGCTTTCTAAGCGGCCGAACTATAACAATCACTACTCATAACCTTTAAGAGAGGTTATGTTTTTGTTTATAAACTAACCACACTCACTCATTGCCAAATACAGTATATAATCAGCTGGTTGGTGTACTTGGTAAAACTCATTACAGTACAGTAGTACGTAATGAAACCCCATTTGATTAAGCTGACAACAAACAGCTGTTTTCTGGACTAAATCCTTGCGTGGGAAGTTCATTAAAACAGTGTAGTGTGGCGTAAACATATTTCAGTGAGCAAGTTATGGATTTCGATTTGATTCTGTGTAAAATTCCTTTTTCGTCCGTACTTTTTGTTACCAAGATAATTTATGGGGTATAACAGATGCTATGGCTTACAATCATCCTATCAGTTTAAAACTTTCCAACAAATAATAGTTTGTTTTATAATTGGTTGTTGTTGTATAATAGTTTGTTTTGTGAAATTGGTTTGTTGAAAAACCTGCATATTGGTCAGAAATCAGTAATCTACATCAGTGCAATCTGTTGGTAGCTCACATCAACTACGTCCATTTTGATTTTAAAACTGGTGACAACTTTAACACTAGATGAAATGACTAGATCTATTAAAAGTCAAAGCTTCAACGGTGAGTTATGTTTAGTCTGAAATAACTGTTATAATTTGGTTTGCATTTCACAGACAAGGGTCTAGAAGCTCCGACAGCCACTCCACCTTGCCATGGAATAAGATGCGGTAAATGTGTCAAATGGGAAGATGTAGCCAATGGCGAACCTGATTGTCCTGATCTTTCTGACGAAAGTCCTGAATCATTCAGGAAACGACAACAGGCATGCAAGAGTGATCCCAGTGTTTGTGGTGAGTATAATTGATTGTAGATCATAAATTAGGGTATTTTAATTTACCCTCGAGCCCCATCAGCTAAATATATCAACCATTAAAAAACCATTGATTTTTTGATAGTACAGTCATCCCATATATATTTACCAGCTACAGTCAATTGTTATTATCATAGTTGAATGAACACAATATATTGTACAAATTTTTAATTTTAAAGTCAAGTTCAAACAGCTTCACAGCTGAACTAAGTCAGCCAATGACAAAGGACAGTGTGCGATAGGAATTCCTTGGAGAAGGTCTTTGTACGAATTGCAGTCTAAAATAATTTAAAGTAGCGGTTCTGGGTGGTCAAATTTGGATTGGTTCAAATCACATTAGCTTGTTTCCCAAGGGATACTAGAATGCATCATAAAAATCATAAAGGCAAATCAGTGGTAAGTCCAGGGCAAGAGTTCAGGGAGGGGGGGGGCAAGTTGGATTATGAGGGTAACCTTCCGGTGGGTTTGGGGGGTATGGAATAGGTGGAAGGGGGTCTGCCCCCCAAGAAATGTTGGAAAATTTGAACTGAAAACTTGTGTTTTTAGACAATCTAAAGACAAAAACATGATAATTTTTTTATATAAATCCATAACACAATACTAATTTTTGGGTTCTCAGATTCTGGTGGTCGGGGAGGGGGCAATTGGCCCTTTGGATCCGCCACAGAGGCAAATCAGGCCATGTTCAATTAAACAGGCAATTTATAAGCCACTGTGTTGGATATTTAAATCAAGTTTGTTAAAATTAGTAATTTTGTGCCCATTTAAAGTATTTTAACTTTTTTTTTAACCGAATTATTCATTTTATTCGGTAATTAATAAAGTCAAAATTGATCAGTAATAGCCACATTAGATTGTTACTATCACCAGCTCTCGCAATGGCAAATGAAATGGCATAAACCCTCTCTACTGGAGTGAGCGAGAGGAAAAAGAGGGGGTTTCCGATATGAACATGTACAAAACTGTCTGGAAATCTTTATCAACCTATACAATCCTCAAAAATGTGTAGAATGTTTTAGGAATATCTTCAATGTTTCAATGTAAACAAAAAAATTAAAATTATGATTATGAGTCATGAGCAATTGAACCAAAATGGCTAATCAAACAAGTTTATGAACACAGTTTGAGATGTAAATTAAATAATTTCACTGTAATAAAAATGTAAATAAAACTCTTGATATTTTACACAATAATAAATAAATAAATAAATAAATAAAATAAAAATGCCTTTATTTATCAAGCGTTTCTCAGTATAAATACTGCTTCTCAGAACAACTATCGTCAATAACAATATAAAACTAACAACAAATAAATAGAGCAATAACAAAACAGAAACAAGACAATATGAGTAACAATAATTAACCATCAGTGCACAATTCTTTGATCTTAACACTAAATGATGATAAAGAATATTTTTTGAGGCCAGAGGGGAGGTCGTTGTACAGTTTTGGACCGAAGTACGAGAAGCTTCGTCTTAAACTCAAGCCTCACTCTTGGAAAGTGAAGCTGGAGACCACCATGGCGGGTACTGCGCTGAGAGACCTCCTCCCGGAAAGAGAGCCTCTCAAGAAGGTACTGTGGCTCCTGTAAGACAAGAGCATTGTGCACCATGCAGCACGTCATGATCCTGCAAACAGTGTCTACTGTTGTCATCCCCGCTACAGCTCTATAGGGAGAGATATGTTCAAATTTTTTGAGGCAAAATATGAAGTGAATAGCTGAATTTTGCAGTTTCTGCATTCGGGTCATGTCTACTCCAGAGATGCTGTTTCCATAAGCAGGGAGACAATATGTAAACACCGACAGGACTAGTGACTGCATGAAGCGCAGCTTCGCTGATTCTGGCAGCAGACTTCTAAACCTGTACAGCCCTCTCAGCCTTCCTAACGCGCGCTGCGAAGCATGTGTGACATGGTCAGAGAAGGTGAGGCTGCTATCAAGCACAACGCCAAGAGTCTTTGACTTGTCACACAAAGTCAAAGATTCCCCGTTGAGCATAACACTCACTCCTCTCTCGCTGAGGGACTGCACCAAGTCTTGTGGCGCCGTATGCATCACAGTACACTTGCCAGTATTGAGTTTCAACCCATTTGCTTCTGACCACAAAAGGATTTTTCTTAGATCAGAGTTAATGAGATCGAGTGAAGCTCTAATCTGGGATGGCTCATAAGACAAGTGCAGCTGTGAGTCATCGGCATACAAATGAACTGTACAATGTTGCACACAGCTAGGAAGGTCTGCCGTGTACAAATTGAACAGAACAGGCCCAAGACAGCTGCCTTGGGGAATTCCTTGGGTTTTGACAAGCGGGGTTGATGTTTCACTCTCTAACTGAGTCACCTGCAGCCTGGAGTCTAAGTATGACCTTATCCATTTCAAAATATTTTCGTCAAAGCCATAATATTTCATTTTGGCCAATAGCATCTCATGGTTCATTGAATCAAATGCCTTTGAATAGTCCAGCATAACTAGAGAACTATATTTACCCTTGTCTTTGGCGTCAATCATATCACTAAATAAGTTCGTCAGGGCTGTACACGTGCTATGGTTAGGTCTAAATCCAGACTGAAGTTTGGGTAATATATTTTGTGTGTTTATGTAGCTGACTATTTGGCGAATAGCTCAGTATTCCACGATGACAATCGTGGAATACAAATGTCTATTTCCAAGAGTACCAAATGTTAGTCTGCATGAGCAATTTTAACAACCAGAAGACCATATTGAATAAAAATTTAATATCCTAATTTCTAATTGTGTAAACTGAAGCATGTTTTCCCACTGCAGGTTGCAAAATGGACCAGGTGAAATGTCCTAGTGGGGAATGCATCAACAAATCTTCTTACTGCGACGGTGTTAAACACTGCGCAGACGGAAGTGACGAGCCCCCAGGATGCAGGGACAGCTGTTTGGCTTACCTGCGCTTCGCTTACCCTCGGAAAATATGCGACGGAGTCAGAAACTGTTTTGACAAGTCTGATGAAAACTGGGAAACTTGTCGTAGCAAAATTTGCACCTTGAAAGATGCTTTTGTTTGCAAAAGGTAAGAATGAGACTGTAGTATATTTCATTACAGGGCCTCAAGTGACTTTTTGATGCAAACGTTCAACGAAGGAAAATTGAAAATGAACGAGGAAAAGATACATTTAGACTGTGTGATGTGTCTTTTCCTTCTTTTCATAACTACATTTTTTGTTTAATTTAGCTCATTCACAAATTATGAACTTTGTATATTGCTTAGGTGTATATGTCAATACCTGTAATATCCCCCACATTGTTTTGCTATGAATATGCAAATAACCATTAACAAGATGTTCAATTATTTGGGCTGTTACGATTGTGTTAGTGTGGAAGAGATTAATTGTAACCAATCAATAAAATCTCTCGGTAGGTAATACATAGTCTCATAATACCGGTAGGTAATACTTGGTCTCATAGTCAATGCTAACTAAAACATCTTGGACACAAGTAAACAGTAAAACATCACCACAAATAAAACACCTTCAGGTACTGGAGGAAACAGTCAGAGAATAGTTATTTGTGCAACTAGTGAGAAAAGTGAGCAATTGACTCACTCGAGAGAGATCCTTACTCATGAGCCGTAGGCGAGTTAGGAATGGTTTCTCGAGTGAGGCAATTGTACTTTGAACTCGAGTTGCACATTATACTTTTCCTACAGTTACCATAAAACAAATAAATTTGTGAAGAAACAAAACCTATTTTTACACAGAAGTGAACTTTTAATATAACATTTAATGTGAAGTGACAAATACAACAGTACAACAGCTGACCAGCTGATTTACAGCCAGTGCTGCCAACATATTTCGCGCACATACGACGTTGCCTGCATGTTACGCGCAAATTCCCACTATTTCGTGCCTTCACGTTGCAAATCTGGAGTGAGACAAAGTAATTAGACAATGATAACACACAATGTTAGACAATGTTAACATTGTCTCACTGATGAGCGAATTGGCCACTTTGCTTTCTCAAATCAGTGAGAGAACATGTACATTGTTAGGTAACTGTAGGAAAAGGAATTAATATCACTGTTTGAAGAGATTACATACTAGTATTACTTTGTCAACACAATAAGAAATTTAAATTCCTGAAATATTTTCACCTTACTTATTAGTCTTGACATTGAATATACATAGAATAGACGTCCCATCAAATGTAAATATTTGAAGCCAAAAAACATGGTGCAATCTGCAGTCCTGAACTTCCTCTACTTTCCTGGCTTCAAATGTTTACATTGGGTGGGAAGTTTATTCTGTGTATAGTCAGTAGTCTTAATTTCGGTAAAGGGGTACTTATTATAGTTACTAGCAGAGAACCCGTCCTTCGTACAGGGTTGGCATCAAGTATAAAATGCTTATTGCAGTTATACTCAAGTTTTGCGTTTGCAATGGGGGAGGACACAGTTTGATAAAATTTGCTTCTTTAAATTTACGGTATACTAAAGTATTACACATCTACCATAGCAATAATGTTCTACCACTTCTCCTAAACAATAGAAAAAAATAAATTATTAAAAATCCGCAAAATATCACAAATCATTCATGAAATTAAAAACATAAACATAACTGTAAACAATCCTACTTTGACAGTTCTCATTGTGTATCACAGTTTTTAGTTGCTGCTTGGTTCAAATTAGCTGTTTTCATACATGCAAAAAAAAATAGTGCTGCACCCTGTTGGTAACTTTTTAATGCTTTTGCATATCATAGAACCAGTTTTTTTTTTAGTTGAAACAGCTGACTAAATTCTTTAATTCCCATTAAATATGAATACTCATAAGGTTAACATGGGGAGCTACAGAGCCACTGGGGCGGAGCCCGAAAGGATTTTTGAGATAAGAATATGCCTATATGTTAATCGGGAATGTGAGCTATCATCATGCCAAATTTCAGCCCAATCCGTCCAGTAGCTAAAGCGTGATTGAACTTCAAACAAACAAACACACAAACTTTCACATTTATAATATTTGTAAGATAGACTCAATTTAATACAGTAAAAACTCAAATTTTAATAATGATATGATATGACAGTACCTTCTTGAAAATGTACATCTTATCCCCACACTTCTACTGCTTCTTTTCTAGCTCAGAGAAAAGAACTAATTTTTATCCGTAATGTGTTGAAATTAATCACTGTTTTTGCTGAATTGTGATAAAACAAATTGAAATACAGTCTATAAGTTATGACCTATTGTTTTTGCTCCTAAACCTACAACATTTTACAGCGGAGGCAAGTGTATTCCACGAGAGTTTGTTTGTGACGACCAAAATGACTGCCCTGACGGAGAAGATGAAGAAAGCTGTGTGTCTATTTCACATTCCGGACTGTAAGTTACTTTTGTTTTATTTTAATACCAAAATAGAGTCACAAGCTGATTAGTAATTTTGATATAGCCAGTGGTTGGTTTTAGATATAAAAAAATCAGGGGGGGGGGCAAGGTAGCATAACATTTCGATTTCCCCAATTTTTTTAAAGTTAGAAGGTACAGTAGAACTCCATTTATCGCAATAAATTGGGTCTGTACCACATTAAGGTAATAAAAAATTGGGATTGTTGGACTTTTATTCAAATTTGGGGGATTTTACAGAAAATAGGCCGAGTTAATCCGATCTTTTACTATTTCAAATGCAGAATGTGTCTGCAAGGATTTTTTTTTTTCTCCACAACCGCGGAGGACGTTTCTGATTTTCCGTGACCAGGGGAAATGATGATAATGTCTACAAGACGGTGGTAAATGTGCAAGATTTTGGCACGATGGCGGCTTATGCATAAAAATTTGTATTACTGTGGTTTTAAGTTTTTTAAATTCTTTCTGTAAGGGATTCACTGTATTAGTTAATTAGTTTATAATTTCTATACAATTTGGTTTTGAACTAAATTTGCTTGGTAAGCAGGTTTGCTGGACAAGGTACTTTAGGCTTACTTCTGGGGTAATATACTATTTAAGTTCTTCAAATTTAAATGGCTTCTGATCACCTTGCAGTATGTGAAAGCCCCTACTCATTAACATTCACATTTTATTGACGAGTCAAAGGCTAAGTCCACTGACAAACTATGAAACTGCGACAGTAATACCTTGGATTCACTTGTGGTGTTACTGCTTGAGAATATCAGTACAATTCTTTAATGTAATGCACAGGCTCACCCCTTACACTGCTTGAAATGTACCACACACATGCCTGAGGTTTATTGGACAAATTCAAGGTTAAAAGATGTCGCCAACCTCTTGAAAAATAAATTTTAAATAGGACCAACAAAAGGGCTTGCCTAAAAATCAGAAGGATTCTGGCTTGATTATGAGAAATGGCAGCAGTTTTGTTGTTGTTCAAAACTGGAACCAGCTGTCCCTGATAATTGGATTTTAATTCATGGTTCAGGCTAAATATCTGGTCTTAGTCACCGAGAAAGCTACGCATCTAAACTATTGATAAAATTATCTTTATAGTCAATTAATACTTCATGTAAGAATCATTGATGACTATTATAGGATTTTCTTTTTTGAGGAATAGAGTTCAGCTAGCTTACCTAAGAAAATAAGTGTCTAGGGGCTAATAGATACAATAAAAAAACAAAAAACATAACGCTGATATTTTTTCCTCATGTAGGACTTCTTTAGAGAGTCAGTACAGGCAACTTACATTGATTTAGTAGGAGTGAAATCTTGTCCTGATGCACCTCAGCCCCAGATGGGATTTTGTGCTCCCCACTTGGTGCGTCAGAGCCTGTCAAACCTGAGTTGCTTGATGAACTGCAGCATTCTATTTATCAGCTCCTCCTGAAGGTGTCTGCCCCTTGTCATCGTTCCAAGAGTGCTTTCCCTTACCTAGCTTAGAGTTGTACAGTTGTAGAGTAGATGATCTGCGGTCTCCTCGGACTGACCACATTTCCTACATGCAGTGTCTCCATTATAGATCCTCAAGCGATGCAGGTGCAGTTTCAGGTAGCCATGGCCTGTGACCATTCCTGTGATCTGTCTAAGTTGCTTCCTATCTAATAGGAGAGCATTGGATGCGACCGTCTGGGAAGGGAAGAAGAGGGACCTTGCTTACCCTATGGTGTTGAAGTCCAACCCATATTTTCCTGTGTTCCTCCTGAGCCCATGACATGACTGAGTGACATGCATACCCACAAAAGATTCCACAGAAAGGCTGTGGTCCCTCAAAGTTTGAGGCTGACGCAACGTTTGCTAACTTGTCAGCTCCCTCGTTTCCTTCTATACCTGAATGCCCAGGATCCCAACAGAGTGTTACCTTGTAACGCCTGCCCAGGGCACATACTGCTGTGAGGCAGTTTCAGACCACCTTAGACTTGAACTCGCAGGAGTCGAGGCCTTGAGCGATAGCTTAGCTGTCTGTGAAAATGTAAATGTTCATGTCCCTGACACTCCATTATCACAGTTATTTCAGCCTGGCAACTTACATTTACTTCAACCTAGTCTCTGAAAAAGCCTTACATCAGGGCAAAATATCAGTGTTATATTTGTGTTCTTTTATTGTATTTCTATTAGCCCCTGGACTCTAATTTTCTCAGGTAAGTTAGCTGAACTCTATTCCTTTCCAAAAAATTCCTTACTAGCCAATTAGATTTCCTTAAAACTATAACCTAAAGATTCTTATATAGATTTTTGCTGATTTCTAGAAACGAAGGAACTCTTTCTCAGCAAAACTTTGGAGTTTGGAGTCCAAAATGTGTGAACAACACTGTCACAGATTTTACGAGCGTCTGCACCGAGCTGGGCATGACCGAAGCCGTAACTAGAGAAGTGGTCACTAACAATCATACCACCCTTGCGGCCGACAGTTTCACCCCTGTAACTCTTAACAGCATGACCACCATAGTGATACGGAAAGGAAGACCCCTCATGGAAGTTGACTCCAGTTCTATGTGTAAAAATCTGTACATTAAATGTTTATAAAGGTATATGTAAATTTTATTTTCCTTCCAGTTTTTAAACCTACTAACAATTCTTGTGGGTTTGGTTTGAATGAGAGTTCTAATTTCCTTTTGAGGTAATCAATTTACAACCAATTTATATGGTAAATTTGTTAGTTTCTTAGTGTGTTAATCGTACAGTGATAAAATAACTTAATATTTCAGAAAAATCTAACAGCCCAGAAACATAAACAAGCATAGTGTAAATGCTTCTATTGATTTTTTAGGTTATTTATTGATGCATTTTTTTCTTTGCACACAAAAATGGAAACACACATGGAACATTACCACAGCATAAGCTATTCTTCTAGAATTGGTATCACTTTATAAAAAAAATTTCTTTTTCTTCTATCAACTCCTTTTACATATCTCACGTAGTGTTTTGTAATATCCGCTCTTGTTTTAATGATGTTTTCAATTTTTGTTCTCTTTCTCTTAAAGTATTAAAAATAGTCAGGACCAAATCATTCTTCTTAGTCCAGGGACAGAGGAGGCCGAAATTTTATTATAATCGTATCCGACCTGACCCTTGTACTGTGCTGTTCCCCTCCGCTCACCCCCAGCCTTGTGATCAACTCCTGACCGACACAACTGTATGATTACTTTTGCTACCACAGAAATGATCCACCCCCATCATTACTCATTTAATATTTTCATCATCAAAAATTAAAAACCCAAACCAATTTATGTTTGTTTGTTTTTATTAAGACCTTTGCAAACTAGAATATTGTTTATGACCCAATGTCTTCAAAACTAAACTGATTTTATAGTCTTGGACCATTTTTATATTGTGATTTAACATTACTATTTTGTTCTAACAGGTATGTAATTGACTTAAACGACTAAATGCATAGTATGACAAGGTTTCGCTAATGGTAAACAGAAATTAAATCTTTGAGATTCATAATAAAATTGAATAAATCAAACAACTTTATATTTGTATGGTTTTAATTTTTAGATAAACTATCGGCTTTGTACAGTGGAACCTCAATAGAAGACCTTCGATAACGAGTGTCAAACGCCCTTGGTTTTATATTGCCCTTAACTACATGTAATTGCAGTCTCGATAAGACGTCAACTTGATAACAAGTCTTATTTCATAATCCCCATGAGGGATTTGTTATCGAGGTTCTATGTATACTTGTAGTCATGGGCTTGTTAGCTGTTGACACGTAAACCAGCATAATGCCATCGCTTACGGAACCACGTTCTAAATTTTCTTCTTGCAAGACAAATCTTTGTAGTTTTGCACAACTTAATCACTGTCTCCTGTTTCTTGAGGCTCGTACTTTAACAGTTTCTTCCTTAATTCTCTGACTTGGTCGTTCTTTCTCCCGATCATTTTCTTCATGTTCATATACGCAGCTGTTTGGTTGAATTTCTTTTCTAGCTCCTGGAAAATAATTGTATCAGTAAAAAAAGTTGACGGTAAGAAATTAAAACAAATCTTTACACAACAGGTGAAAATATTATTAGACAACCAAAAGACAGTAAGTAGTAGGTTATTTACTTTGCTGTTATTAAGCTTCTACACCAGAGTAGATTGAACAACAAAACAAAGACTGTTTGTGATAATTCATGCTATTCAAGTGGCATTTTTAAAACATGATAATAATAGAAGCCCAGAAACAAGTTCATAATCTTACTATGAGAGTGTCTTAATGAAGCAATGAAGCAAGCTGGTTCATTTGGACAACAATACAGTGTTTTACTTCCCCGGCTATCATTCTAACCAATCCCCATCCTAGTGCAACTATTAGTTTTGTCACAGCAACCAATAACAATGGCCATGAGAAAAAACTGTTGCTCCCACCAAGTATCACGATTTGTTGTTAGATTCATGTGGTTTAAAGGGTCAACCCGGGGGAGTGAGCTGGTCTAGTAGTTAGAACGCAGGACTTCGGTACCTAAGGTCCCGGGTTCAAATCCCGTCAAATCACCAATGGATTTCATCTAAATGATAATGACGCAACCCCTAGGTCTAGCAGGAAGTAATGTGAAAAACAATCCCGGGCTCGTGCATAGCGTCCAAAAGGGTCAACCCATATTTAAGTCTTGCCAGTTCGGAGGTTGATTTAGAAATGTGCGTAGATGGTAGAGGAACTTCAGTAATTTTTTTTCACAAAGTTTCGCACAGCTGCAGTTATTTATCAGTTTTATAAGGTAGTGACAAAGTTAGAAAGGTCCTGCATGCGGATCGTGGTGTGACTGGACAAGTTTAAAATTTAGAATGTTGATTGTCAATTGACTGAAAAAGCAGTTTTTTAACTAATGAGTCTCTAAGATGGATAGATATCTCTAAGAAGTCCTTAAGATCACCAAGGACAATTAATTGTTTACCCTGGTAGTCTCAAACATGTCTATTTTCAAGCAAAGTTTCTTGGGTTTAATCATTGTCTCAATAGAAATTGTAGAGCACCTACTGCCAATCTCATGCGCATCTAAGCCACTTGCAGACATTTTAAACCCTGTAACCTTTGAACTTAATTAGCTGTCTTTGATTATTAAGGTTTTAATAGGTCCTGGCTAAAAAGCAGCTGATCACAGTCAGTAACAAAGCTACACAGATCATCTGACTCCGTTCTACACTCACCCTTCATTCATATTCAGCCAGTACACACATAAGTGTACTCCGCTATTTAAAGAATTGAATTGAATTAGGAAGATACTAATCGTTCCTTTGACGTGGGGATCGGCTAGAATAAAAGTAAAATGTATTAAAAGAAAAAGCATGGGCGCTAGCGTCAGGCCTATAGTTTGTATGTGAAGTGCTATGGGCCCAAAAGATAATTGCGCTCTTCTCCACCTACCTTATGGAGGAACTTTTCTCTTCCTTGTGCCCCTAACAAACCTTTTGCACCCCTGGGCTCGGGCCCATGGGGCCCATTTATTAAAGCGGCCCTGGCTAGGGTCAGATTTGAACTTACTCACTTGATTGCAATGGGGGACCTTAATTTACACACAACCCTTGTATATATCACTATTTAGACATTTTCTACACACCTGTTGTGCCAGTGCTAGTTGAGACTGTACTGTCTGCATTTCTGAGCTTAACTGTTCACTCAGCACTTTCTCATACTGACTCAGCAAATGCTCAGGATCTTGTTTCTGGAAAATCAACAGAAAAGCGTAACTATAAGGTAGTACCTGAAAGTAAATCAGTTTCCCATGTTAACCTTATGAGTACTCATATTTAAATGGAATTAATGAATCTTAACAGCTATTTCAATTAAACAAGTTGGTTCTGTTCTATGATGTTCAATAGCATTAAAGTTACAAGTAGGGATGGACGGGATTGAATTTTTAGTTCGGGACGGGACGGGACGGGATTTTTATTTCCTTCCCGATTTTCGGGACGGGACGAGACGGGATTTTTTTCTGTGCATAAAAAGAAAGTACTGTATTGCAGTTACCAAAAAAGACATACGAAATCAATTTTTACCATTTGTGGCACTGATCTATAAAAACAAAAAAATGGGTAACAATTTACAGGTACCTATAGAAACTTGTGACTCGCGGGTCACGGGGTGATCGTCTGTATGACTCACGGTCACGGCGCGATCGTCGGTATGACTCCGCGGTCACGGGGATATCGTCGGTATGACTCCACGGTCACGGCGCGATCGTCGGTATGACTCGTGGTCACGGCGCGATCGTCGTCATGACTCGCGGTCACGGGGCAATCGTCGGTATGACTCGCGGTCACGGCGCGATCGTCGGTATGACTTGCGGTCACGGCGCGATCGTCGGTATGACTCCGCGGTCACGGGGTTATCGTCGGTAGGACTCCGCGGTCACGTCGTGATCGTCGGTATGACTCACCATCACGGTATGATCGTCAGTATGACTCCGCGGTAACGGCGCGATCGTCGGTAGGACTCCGCGGTCACGGCGCGATTGTCGGTATGACTCGTGGTCACAGCGCGATCGTCGGTAGGACTCCGCGGTCACGGCGTGACTGTCGGTATGACTCCGCGGTCACAGCCCGATCGTCGTTATGACTCGCGGTCACGGTGTGATCGTCGGTCCAATAATCGCGGCCACGGCGCGATCGTCGTTATGACTCCGCGGTCACGGCGTAATCGTCGAAATGACTTCGTCTCCTGCGTTCGCGGACCTATCGCTCGCAATAACGGCGTTATCGGCACTCGCGAAGCGGAAAAATCGCCGACGATCGGACCAAATCCCGTCCCGAAAAATTCCCGAGTCAAATGTAATCCCGTCCCGATAATCGGGAATATTTTTTTCCCGAAAAATTCCCGAAATTTCGGGACCTGTCCATCCCTAGTTACAAGGATTAACAACAGGGTGCAGCACTATTATTTCTTTTACATTTATGACAACAGCTAATTTGCAACCAAAAGGTGAGTGAGCGTAGCGAACGAACTTCAACCTGGAGACGAGTTAGCGTAGCGAACGAGCTAACCTGAAGGCAAGTGAGCGCAGCGAACGAGCTCTAACCTAAAAGTGAGTGAGCGTAGAACGAACGAACTTCAACCAGGACGTCAGGACATGGTTGAGCCATGCGAACGAGATCATCTTGAAAATTAAGAAGTTAAACGGGGCAAAGCCCGCGGGTTACAGCTAGTTTAAGATAAAAAGTTAACTTTATATACAATTCTTTCCTTAGCTTCCTAAGTTTTCCTATCATGGATCCATCGCCTAACCTCAACATATTCTCCGTTATTTGCTTGAAGAAAGTCAAGTCGGTTTTTCAGCTCTGACCACACATTGTGGCTCATTTAATTAGATATTTTGGAAAGGCTTCCCTTATCTTTGATTTAGATTCATCTATGTTCGAGATCGGCGAGCGATAGATACACTTGATCTTTCACAAACCCCAAAACAAAAGAATTACATTTCAGATTTTGTCTCTATAAACCATTCAATACACTTTCAAGTGCACCTTTATATTGCAACTTTATGTTTTGTGAAAATTCAAACATGCTAACAACAATGGAACAGCTGACTACTGTTGAAGGGTACTTAAAAAAACTTAAAGACACAAGCTTTAAAACAGCCAAAGTTGACTTTTCAATGACCCTTGGTTATACGTATAAGCTGTAGATTTGATCCATTCTTTTTGGGACAACCTGTATATCAACATTCATAAAAATGGCTGCAGCTGGTCCAAATTGATGGGATGCCCACTTCAGTAACAAAAGTCAATGCTACTAGCTATTAAATGTTTTAAGCGAGTTCATAATTACTTCAATCTGTGGGGTCGCTGTTGTCTGATCGTTGTTCGTCATCGTTGTCAGTTGTTGAAGCTCATGAGTGAGATGGGTGATTCTTTCGTCTTTCTTCTCAACCAACCCTATCAGCTTGTTTCTATCCTCTTTCAGTTGGATGATCTGAAATTTTCAAACACTTTTACAGTTGGGAAAGTTATTTCCACCCTTTCTAAATAATCCAAATATAGGCACTCTGATGATTAATAATAACCAATAGGTAATGCTGCTCATAAAAAACTCTATTGACGAATGATGTAGACACATAGTAAATCATATTGAATGATTTAACTTTCCTAAGATTTTATTTAACATAGAAAATAGACATTAACACAACTCTGAGCATTTATAACTAACATAAGCTGATTTGAAATTACAAAACATATTTGTACATAATAACTGATAACTGGATGTTTTTACGCGGATAGTATACATGCGACTGTAATTGTTGTGACAGGGAGAGGGGTCACTAATTTATTGTTTAGAAGTGATGGAGCAGTGGACGGACGTACATGCGTATGTGAGAAATAGCGTGTCTATCATGGCAATGCAGTGACTTTCTTGACTTCACTTTCAACTTAAACCCCATGACACAAGTAAATTTAGACAAAACTGTACTGTAATTGCATTTGTAAAGGCAGTAACAAAATAATTACATTAAATATCTTCGGCTTTCCATATTATTAAGAAAATAATACTTCAATTACCAATCGCCCTTTCCTTTTTGCCATATCAAGTGCATTATTTTATTTGTGTTCATGTAAGGTAAAACTCAAAATAACTTTGTGATGAGAATTGTATGTGTTATTAAATTTACAGAAAGTAAATCAAAATATGTCTAATAATTTTGAACTATATATTCACTATCACTACATTTACCTATTGAATTTAATGATGATAGAAGAGTCCATCGTCCATCCTTTTATGTGTCCAAACTTATTCAATATATAAACATAAGATAGACACCTGATAATGTTAAGTGAACTAAAGCTCATAGTAACGTGCTATGTATTTGTACAAAATAACTTTGGCAAAATAAAATGTTATACATGTTTAAAAGAGCTCACCTGATTTTCAAAATGTTTGAACTTCTCTTCAAGCTGTTGATTTTCGGCTTGGAGTCTTTCTATTTCAATGCGGAGAAGTTGTGATGATCCATCCTCATTATTCAATGGTTCCAACTTCAGTTTGCTGCCCAGATCTGAAGCTTCCATTGCTTTGACATGTTCCAACATTTCTCTGTATTACATAGATAAATTTGAAGTGAAACAGTAATTTCAAAAATTACTTTGAATGTAAACTCTTAAAATTTGATTAGATTTAAGATAAAAGGTTTGGCCTAGTGCCAACAGTTAGAATGTATCAGCCGAGCTCATTCCTGGTTTTTCTTCCACAGGCCAAAAGCCTGTTGACTGCCAAACTCAAGGTTAAGAGGCAAACCTTCCCAAAAACAAATTTCATGTCAGCCAATTACAAATTAATGTATATATTCCAGTGGTTATAGCTAAATTGACCTGTTCTGTATCTCGGAGAGGTTGACGAGGACACGCAGGTGCCATTTGTCTGCTTGCGCCAGAACCTGCGCGAGTAACAGCGCCGACGTGTGCGCCAGACTTATCAGCTCCGTCTCCACATCTGAGTGTATCAGTACTTGAAGCTCTCGTAGGATCTCCGTCACTTCTCCTTGAGTGTACGTTGCATCCAATAACCTGGAAAAGATGTACAGTAACATGAGAATTTCAACCTCTAGATGTATTATTTCACACACCCTACACATTACACCACCTTGTGTGTCAATTTCAGGGGTCTTCTTTTGATTTCATCTTCTTCTCACTAACACTATAGTCTATATTTATAAAAATAGGTCATTAGTATGATAGTCAGGTTGATCAGACAATTTTTGGATATAACTTTTTTTAATATAAACTTTTATTTTTATTTATAATTAAGGTCCATTTTTGAGCCATCAAAAACCTGCTGACTTATCATACCAGTAATCAAACTGATCAAAATAGTTACTCAGCTCCCCTGTTCTTTCTACAGGCTTCAAGACTAAAATGCATATTCAGGGCCGCGTTAAGGGTCAGTGGAGCCCTGGGCAAACCCAGCAGTGCCCCCATTTTTTCCTATTGCGGGCAGGTGATGGTTGAGGGACACCCGGTGGGCGCCCCCAAACCTTCGCCGCCCCTGGGCGTATGCCCAGTCTGCCCGTTTATAAAAGTGGGCCTGCGCATATTTTAAATGCGGAATATAGTTAGATAAATGTTTTTGGGCATTACTCAACTTACTGAAATCAGGAGAACACAGTCCTTGTCACCAGTTTATTGTACACACACAAACACACACTAATAAAAAATAAAATACCGTTGTGAGCGCCTAACCACAACTTATTTTTGTTTGTTCATTAATGTGTGTTTCTGTGTGTGCGATGAACTGTGGTGACAAAGACTGTGTTCTCCTGATTTCAATAAGGTGAGTGATGCGCACAAATATTTTTTAAACTGAATCATTGACCTCACCTAAAAAACCATGTTGTTTAGAAATTTTATTGTTTTTATACTTGGAAAACAAAACCATGTAATCCTCACCTTGTATCAGCTATGTCTTGAATGCACATATCAATAGCTTTGAGGTTCTGGGTTCGCAAGTATCGAGCAAACTGAATGTAGCTCTTGACAATTCCCTGATGATGATCATCTAAGCCAAGTTCAGCCTGAAATAAACCAAAGTTACGAATGTTGTATCAATCCAATCTGATATAGATCCATGTTAGTGAATTTCCATATAGGGTTGTAGCTATTACCGTACGTGCAATGGAAAACTCTAAACCAATTTACTTTCACATTTTAATGTGCCTTGAGGCCAAAAACGCTATTTAAATTAATGTCCAAGAACATAACTCAAGCAATTTTAGTCTGGTTTTGATGAAATTCATGAATGAGTAGAGTATGAATTATAAAAAAAATAGTATCTATGAAGTAATGAAGTTATTCGTAAAACTATTGGATTGTGTAATATGAAAAGGTATCAGTTTCAAGTATAACAACAAGATTCAAACAAACTAAAAAAAATATAGTTAACATGTTGCTATTCAAAGATCAGGTTGACATAGACAGAACCTTTATGTATTGAGGTTAGAGGTGACTATGGTTAGCTTAAAGTTAAATGTGTACAATATTTAAGGGTAGAATCATAAATTTACTATTTCAGAAAATAAAATTTATAAAACATACAAAAATAATTCAAATGCAATTAAAAATCAAAACTGAAAACTGGAAATAGTGCTTGTATAACAATAACTAATCCTCAAACAATAACCTTTTCTTATTTATAGCTATCATTACATAAATTTTTATTTACGTAAGATAAATTACTGTTTTTATCAATAAGAAAACTAACAACATATTTGTGAACATGTTCACTGATTCAGAAAATGTAGTGAAATTAGTTTTAAATTGTTAAACAAAAGCAGTGGACACTTACCATTGTTTGTTTGGGCTGGTTCCTATGACGACAATAATCAATAAAATTCAAATGTTCAGGCCTAGCTAAACAGGCCTTGATGATTAACAATATCAAATACTGTAATTGTAGTAAATAGTTGTTAACTGATTAAATAAAAAAGGAGCTCAAAACTATACCTCTCATATAGTAACTACTAAACGGTTTATATATCTGTATACAATATAAACATACAGGGTGGCTGAAAAGTAACTCTTGTATCCCCCTAAACTTTTTAACCATTTAAAATCAATTTGCTGCAACCCTCTTAGATATAAGAGGCTACAATAATGAAAAAAAACTCAACTCTTGGGTAGTGGAAGTAGGGGGTAGCTCAAAATATTCAAATGGGAGTTTATAAAAAATAAAGACTTACCTTCTATACTATTGACAAGTTTGTAAAATTGTTATAAAACATGTTAATTCAGTAACAATTGGTAAGTTTGCTCCAAACAGATCTATCTTCATAAATATATTTCTCTTGATACATTGCATCTTTTACTTAGTGTTTATATTATGATAGGAACTACACTAACAATAGGATAAAATATCCAACAGAGAAGCCTAGCATTCTCCGATCAGATTCAAAATACTTTATTTAGTCTCTCCATCGAGAGTATTCAATTTTAAAATGGCATTTAAAAAAGTTTGAAAAGTCCTAAATATTTTGATAACGAAATAACAGTTTTTTTTCTAATCTCAAACATTAATGAATGGTACGACTTTTGCTTGAGTTAGAAACTTATTCCACAATGTACAAGGATTGTCCTTAAACTTAAGTCTCCATCAAGCTTCCCTCATAGCTATAAGTCAGCTAGTTCGATTCCGTTTCTTTACTTAATTCCTCATGATTCCTGTTGCCAACCCTCGTACTGTATGAATTTTATTGTCAATGAGTTTGTTTGTGGAAACTGAGTGGGATAGTCCAGCTACTAAGAAAAATTAGCTGTTGGCTATAGATGTTTTATCTATGCTATAGTCCACCACTACCTTCAATACACCAGTTTACTATTGTAATTTTTTTATGTACAAAAAGCAACAGCAGATAATGGCTAAACATACCTTGTCAGACAATTCTTAAAATGTAGTATCGATTGAAACTTGCTACATGTCTTCTTCCAATCCTGCCTGTGGCAATGTAGAGTGTACACACGTGTAATTGATAGGCCTATTATTAATAGTTTTTGTGATATGTGCTTTGTTTGACTAATTCTGACGACACCAATTATTGGATTCTTTCTGCCTTACAATGACGGGGTTATTAAAAATCACTGAAACATATAGACATTTTCAAGCAATACTATATGTTAAGGATTGTGTGACGAGATATCATCTATACTTGTTTAATACGCAAGCAGGATTTTTGTGACAATTACTCCTCCAAAACTACTGAACCGATTGACATGTTTTTGGTCTCATTGGAAAGAGCGTAGCGTGAAGTTGTGCTGGAAACTTTCTTTATAGGGAAATAATTAGAGAATGAGGCCCTGGGGCCCTTTAAAGTTTCGTATTTCTCCATAAGATTAACATGGGAAACAAAAATTGTTTGAAACTCCAGCTGTTGTCAGAAATTAAAGGTGAGAAGAAGAACATATGTTAATTGTAAACAGTCGATAAGTTTTATATTTAATAAGCTACATTTACTGCTACTAATTACATTACTACTAACATTTACTGACTTGGTTGAAATGAAATATTTAGTATTTTTGAATTTGGGTTGGCGTAAATATTACAATGGAAAAAGCGAGAGAGCCTGGATAAATTGATATCTTAAAAAGAAAACTGAATTAACACTGTGCTACATTTCTTAGTAGCCTAATCATTGAAAGAGCCGGTTTGCAAACTATGGAAACATAGGAAAATCGTAGAACACCACCAAGGAGAAGAAATAGAAATATTTTTTTTTTTTTTGGAATTTATAATCGTTATTATGGGCAACCTAATAGAGCTATGAGTAAGGCTATTTGTAGAAAACACTGAAAAACTACACCAGCTTTTGAAAAATGGTAAGTTAAGATATTTACAAAAAATGTTGATTATATCGATCTGTTAATGTGCATCATGAGTATTTCCATAATCTTTGAGTTGGGTCTTTTAAAGTCAGAAATTATGACTGTTATTCGTTTTAAAATAACGCCTGTAATACTTAGCAATTGCTCGAATTCGAGCAACAGGGACACTAGTTAGTAATTATTTGTCATAAAATGCAATCCTGGGGCTAAAAAGGAAATATGAGTAACAGCAATCTTCAAGACTGTTGGTGTGTCCAAATTTTTTAATTTCTGGAAATTCAAGTGCGGGGGGGTCTGCAGTTATACATCTGAAAGCTGAGGCTGTAAATAACTACCCTTTACAAGCGTTACCATATGGTTTAGCTAAGGGTAATATTTTAGCATAGGCCTAGAACACAAAGGTGCAAGTACCACAATTGAAAAATAATCCCTCTGGTTATGTTACATTATCGTAGAGTACTTCAGTGGTGTAGTTGTACATATTCCAGTTTGGAATCCTTAGCTTCATCAGAGAACTAACGTTGAAGAAATTCACAATTTCAACTATATCACAGCCCAATTGCGGGAGAGGTTCATGACTTTACTGCAACCGCAGAAGACGATAGTGTGTTCACGACTGTGGAAGATGTTCACAACTTGCAGCAATCACAGGAGACGTTTACAATTTTCCCACCCTCTCAGGAGATGTATAACTGATTTGAATGCTAATTACGATCGTTAAAACCTATGCAGCCATTGTTAAGTTATAATTCAATAAAAAAAACAATGGGGGTTCTCAAAATAATTTATAAGATTCTTTGAAAAAGCAAAGAGGAAACTCACCGTTCTCTTACTCCACTACACCACGCTTACCCTTATCTTGGTCTGAAATACCAGAGTTATAAATCCAAAATATTAAAATTGTCCAGAAATGCCTTAACAATTTTCACCCATATCGGTAAAAAGTAAAAACATTATATCTGACTAGGCATTTTATCAAGGTCAGAAAATACAAAATATTCAACCCAAATTCCCTTACAATCATCATTGTGTACATATTTTTATGTTTTCCCACAGGAGGGAATTCTCCTGTTATTTGAGGGTTAGGGTAAAAAATACTCCCCAAACCCCGAGCCCAGGTCCACACCACAGTTGTAGCCTAGGAACCAGTATTATCTAAATCCAGCCCTGGGTTGAGTTGACTTTATAGCCCTGACAGGACTGACTTAAATTGAATATCTTCGCCAAACAATGTTTAAGGTGACAAAAGTGAATATTTTAATAAAACAAAAAAATGTTCTGTCCGAGCCAATACTGACACAGCCAGCTTCCCTTGCATTCAATCACTCGTACCCCAAAATACTTGTATCACAAAATACCCCTCAAAGTAGAGAATGCCATTTGCATCATTGTTAAAAATATCTATTTCACAAATCAAAATATGTGACATTTGCAACTTTGCAAGAGATATTCAATTAAAGAGGTAGCTCCTGTTTTCTAATAAGAGGATTGTTTCAAATTTCTTTTAATTGGTTTATCAGATTTATAATTCACAGGATACTTGGCATAAGATTTTTTTATTTTAGGTTGGTCACACTTAATACTATTGTTATGGCATTGTACTAATGCTAAGGATAAATCACCACACAATTCTATATAAAAATGATATTTATTACAAGAAACAAATTTTACTTTGGCTTCACATCTGTGATTAACGTTGGACTAACATGAGAATCACCTTAGTTATTAAAGTTAAAACTAGATTAAGGGTAACTACATAGGCCTATTCAGAAAGTTTTTTGTATATCTTAACCAATTTATACGGTTTCTTTACTTTTTTCTTCAGCTAAAGACATACAAATAGTAAAACAACAATTAACCTCCTTCATCGGTTGTAAGTCAGGAGGTATAATCAAGAAATAAATTATCTGTTTGGTTAGTATTACAATGTCACTAAATAAATTATACCATATTTACAGTCTATACAGTATATTAACAGTCTATAATATATTGTCCCCTTCCCGTCACAGAAACTGCCATGTGGCAACTTTTCAGGAGAGTCAAAAATATAACATACCCTTGTTAACTTTTTTTTTGTTAAATGAAACCATTAACTTATGGAACCTTTATGTTTGGTGAACTTGTGATTTCAGAAGAGAACAGAGCTTTTGTTTGTATGTCAACTTCACTTCACTACCTACTACCCAAAATAGATAAATATTTGAGATTTGTCACTCTGTCAGAGTTGTTTAAAACTGTTTTTACTTTGCTACAGTTTTATACAAGGGTAATACATAAGATTTTATATTTGAAATAACTTATTTGTTTACATATCTTGAGTTTAAGTTCTTCCTATCTCCACAGCTTGTAACAAGTTATGAGACTGTTTGAGAGTACGTACTTAAGGACGTTAAGGAGTTTGTTTCTGAAGTAAATCAAAAATTAATTTCAGATGCATCTGTATGACTGGAAGGAGGATATTATTTACAGCATGTTACTTCTATGAAGTATTTCTGGGCAAGATTACATGGTAAAATAAATACGTGATTGCAAAATAATAACAGTTCATGGTTAGAACTGTTAAACAGGGGGACAGATATTCCATCATTGTGAGTATCCAACAGGCGTGTGACTGCCGTAAAACTTGAGTAATAGTTTTTAAATGTGTACGAAAGCGGAGACCAGATGAAAATATGTATAACTGCACTCGAGATTTTGAGGTTGTTTTTACTTGGGGTTCTGGAATGTTTTTTCCAAAATTAATTCGTCCAACACAAGGTTAAAATTTAAACCTATATTGCTTAAAATTTACTGAGATCATTTTAACCTAAACTTAACACAGCTTTACCTTCAAATATAGACCTGGTCAGAATTTGTTGTCAGAAAATGGGAATTTGCCGACTTGCCCGAAAAACTAACTTATGATACATATGAATATTTTAGGCCTGGAGTTTTGAAATTGATTCTGCTCAAGATCAAAGATAGATGTAGTAAATACATTTGTCATCTAGTATAATACAATGAATGATACAAAACACAAGATCTATGATACAATGAATACAGAGGCTATTAACATTTATGTACAGTTCAATATACACAGTAGGCATACAGATAGATATGTTTATATATGCGGCAGCTATTAAGGGGTCAAATTGTGAAGAGGAAGTGTTTACAATGTTATGTGAGTAGGCTGGAAATGTTGGACAATAATTAAAGCCACAGCCTTCTTGCATATCACACTACAAATGTCTTTTGCTTTTGTTTATTTTTTAAATAAATATTGTAAAATTGTAATCTTGATGATGCAAAATGCACACTACAATTTATATCAACTTATTAAACTAATAACTTAAGTGATGCAGGCTATCCAGAATACTTAAATAACACTCATCCACTATTTACCAGTGTGTTAAAATTTTTAAAATGTATTGTATTTTCAACTATTACGGCCCATTATTGATAAGCATAGGTAAAAATGTTGTAAAATGTTGTTTAAAATGCCTACGGCTCCAACATATTCGTTTTCAAGACATTGCAGTTCATTTGGCGAAAATTTTTTTGTCCTAGGCCGCTAGGCATGAGCCGGGAATTGTTTTTCTCACTACCTCAGGCTAGACCTAGGGGTTGCAGCATTATCACTTAGATAAATTCCATTGGTGATTTGGCGGGATTTGACCCCGGGACCTCAGGAACCGAAGTACCGCGCTCTAGCCGCTATACTATCGCTTCCCATGGGAAAATATAATAAAAGCAGAACAAATAAATATCGATGGAGAGATAAAAGATGACCTCAATCATTCTTACACTTGGTAATAATAGAGTACTTATCTGTCTGCTCTATGGTATTACAGAACAGATTTCATTACCTCGGGACTGTTGATAACACAACACTTAGTAGCCTGTGATTGGGTAATAAGTACAAATGGAAACTTGAATGCGTCAAGAGAACCCAAAAAAGGAATAGAAGAACAAAGAGAAAGAATGACACAATCTTTATACTCTTTAAGTAAATTTCTTATAAAAGGAACAAGTCATTACCGTAGGTCTCATGGTAATGCCTAGACCCAGGACCACATTGTTTTTTGTTTTTGTTTTTTTGTTTTAATGTCCCCAGAGACTATAAACACCATCCGGTCAAATTCATATAAATTTATGTTTAGATTTTCATCAAATCTTTATTAAATTCCTTACAAAACGTGTAAACCAATGTTAATTTTAACTAGTACTGACCCAGCATGTTCGGACTATGGGAATGGAGTTTTATTGGGTAAAAATTTGTGTTTTTCTTTTTTAGCCCCACAAAATTAAAATTTGGCAGTTTATTTCTAAACCATTGTAGAGCTCAAAAAACAAATAATTAACAGCATCACCGTAGGTGTAGTAACAGAAAAAAAACTACAAATTTAAAATTACCCGGTTAATTGTATGGATAATATGTAAACTGATGTAGTTTGCTTGTTTATAGGTATAATTTTATTAAGTTTGGTAAATTAATCTACTTCATACCAAGCATAACAACTACTAAATCAAACACACTTTATGACATTCCTTGTAGCAGCTACTCACTAAACCTAATGTTATTCAAATGGAGTATGAATCCAAAATGTTTAAGGGGATATCTAAGTAGAAATCCGATCACGTAAATGAAAATTATTTAGTTTTACAGTTTTGCAGCGTGTTTTTAAACTTGACTGCTGTTTGCACTACACCAGGGACAAATTAACCATGAATATATTCTTCAGTCTTGAAGACATGATGTTCCCTCTCTCTTGGTCACGGAAACAACATCATCTTTTTTCCGTGATTGCGGTGAGCGGTTGCAAACGGACCTCAGCACCCCCTGGACCTCAGCGCCCCCAGGACCTCAGCACCCCCAGGACCTCAGCACCCCAAGGACCTCAGCGCCCCCAGGACCTCAGCACCCCCAGGACCTCAGCACCCCCAGGACCTCAGTGCCCCCAGGACCTCAATGACTGATGCATTTCAACACTAAGGTCATGGTCACAGTCTTTCACAATGTTATTAAATTTAAATATGTAAACAAAGAAAATAAATACAAATTAATATCGCTGCACCCCCTGGACCTCAGCCCCCCAGGACCTCAGCGCCCCCAGGACCTCAGTACCCCCAGGACCTCAGCACCCCAAGGACCTCAGCGCCCCCAGGACCTCAGCGCCCCCAGGACCTCAGCACCCCCAGGACCTCAGCACCCCAAGGACCTCAGCGCCCCCAGGACCTCAGCACCCCCAGGACCTCAGCACCCCAAGGACCTCAGCGCCCCCAGGACCTCAGCACCCCCAGGACCTCAGCACCCCAAGGACCTCAGCGCCCCCAGGACCTCAGCACCCCCAGGACCTCAGCGCCCCCAGGACCTCAGCACCCCCAGGACCTCAGCGCCCCCAGGACCTCAGTGCCCCCTGGACCTCAGCGCCCCCAGGACCTCAGCGCCCCCAGGACCTCAGCGCCCCCAGGACCTCAATGACTGATGCATTTCAACACTAAGGTCATGGTCACAGTCTTTCACAATGTTATTAAATTTAAATATGTAAACAAAGAAAATAAATACAAATTAATATCGCTGCACCCCCTGGACCTCAGCCCCCCCAGGACCTCAGCGCCCCCAGGACCTCAGTACCCCCTGGACCTCAGCGCCCCCTGGACCTCAGCCCCTCTGGACCTCAGTACCCCCTGGACCTCAGCGCCCCCTGGACCTCAGCCCCTCTGGACCTCAGCGCCCCCAGGACCTCAGCTCCCCCTGGACCTCAGCGCCCCCAGGATCTCAGCTCCCCCAGGACCTCAGCTCCCCTAGGACCTCAGCTCCCCCAAGACCTCAGCTCCCCCTGGACCTCAGCGCCCCCAGGACCTCAGCTCCCCCTGGACCTCAGCTCCCCCAGGACCTCAGCTCCCCTAGGACCTCAGCTCCCCCAAGACCTCAGCTCCCCTTGGACCTCAGCGCCCCCAGGACCTCAGCTCCCCCTGGACCTCAGCGCCCCCAGGACCTCAGCTCCCCCAGGACCTCAGCGCCCCCTGGACCTCAGCGCCCCCAGGACCTCAGCGCCCCCCGCACTGCAGAGATTGCAGGGGTGTTATTTACACCACTGAAAATACACTAGTTAATACTAGCGGTACAACAACGTCTATGAAACACAAATTAGTAGGACTCCTACTAGCTAAGACTACGACCTAATTTTCCAACACTAGCAAACTATTTCTAATAAAACATGCACAAATTAAACAACATAATAATAATAAACTAACTACAAAACAATAAACAGCAAACATGCAAGCACACAAAGAAAATCAAAACAAACAATATCTGAAAAACCGCACACCATGCAAGGCAAACAAAACAAACCCAAACCGGAAAACAGCAGTGTTCAGTACCAAATACAATTATTTTACTGACACTAACTTCTACGAGTGTCGTCGTTCACTACTTTACCTACGACAGTGTTTTCAATACTAAAAATCACTACTCATAACTAACTAATACAACTACATACTAATGAAACTACAAACTAATGCAACTACATACTAATGCAACTACATACTAATCCAACTACATACTAATGCAACTACATACTAATCCAACTACATACTAATGCAACTTCATACTAAAGTGTGACGTAATTTTACTGAGGGCGTGGGAAGTTACGCCACCGGTATGCCACCGGTACGATCAAGTCCCAAAAAAACGCACGAGTCGGGTTGCGGGGATTTCGTAAAATGTAGTGCATTAGTATGCAACTACATACTAATGCAAGCACACACAAAAAACAGTTAAAAGCAAACAACATCTAGTAGTCATAGTACCACTACTGTGGTACTATCGCTCCTGATGTCATTTATTTATTGATTCCAATGGATATCACCTTTTTACAATAACCTAATATGCAAAGGACTCCCGGGAACCACCATTGACCAGAGAAATGACGATGGTGGTAGAATACGGAGTCAGGTAAAGGAGTCACCTGCTGTTGGGCTGTGACACTAACGTCCATCACCTGGCCACAGGGAGCAGCGACGTCAACAAGAGAGAGGTCCTGAGAGAGAGCCCCAGCCCGGCTCTGTAGCGTTTTAAATACTAAAAATCACTACTCATAACTTTTAACCTTTTAAGAGAGGTTAAGGTTTTGTTCATTCATAACCTTTCATTGCCACTGACAGTGAAACAAAACTATCTCTAAAAAACATGCACAAATCAAACTACATACTACAAACTAATGCAACTACATACTAATGAAACTACATACTAATGCAACTACATACTAATGCAACTACATACTAATGAAACTAAATACTAATGCAAGCACACACAAAAAACAGTTAAAAGCAAACAACATCTACAAAGCAACACCTCAGCGCCCCCAGGACCTCAGCTCCCCCTGGACCTCAGCTCCCCCTGGACCTCAGCGTCCCCAGGACCTCAGCTCCCCTAGGACCTCAGCTCCCCCAGGACCTCAGCTCCCCCAGGACCTCAGCTCCCCCAGGACCTCAGCTCCCCCAGGACCTCAGCTCCCCTAGGACCTCAGCTCCCCCAGGACCTCAGCTCCCCCTGGACCTCAGCGTCCCCAGGACCTCAGCTCCCCTAGGACCTCAGCTCCCCCAGGACCTCAGCTCCCCCAGGACCTCAGCTCCCCCAGGACCTCAGCTCCCCCTGGACCTCAGCGCCACCAGGACCTCAGCGCCCCCAGGACCTCAGCTCTCCCTGGACCTCAGCGCCCCCAGGACCTCAGCTCCCCCACGACCTCAGCGCCTGACACTAACGTCCATTACCTGGCCACAGGGAGCAGCGACGTCAACGAGAGAGAGGTCCTGAGAGAGAGCCCCAGCCCGGCTCTCTAGCGTTTTAAATACTAATAATCACAACTCATACCTTTTAGGGTTTCGTTCATAACCTTTCATTGCCACTGACAGTGAAACAAAACTATCTCTAAAAAAACATGCACAAATCAAACTACATACTACAAACTAATGCAACTACATACTAATGAAACTACATACTAATGCAACTACATACTAATGCAACTACATACTAATGCAACTACATACTAATGAAACTAAATACTAATGCATGCACACATAAAAAACAGTTAAAAGCAAACAACATCTAGTAGTCATAGTACCACAACTGTGGTACTATCGCTCCTGATGTCCTTTATTTATTGATTCCAACGGATATCACCTTTTTACAATAACATAATATGCAAAGGACACTCCTGGGAACCACCATTGACCAGAGAAATGACGATGGTGGTAGAATACGGAGTCAGGGAAAGGAGTCACCTGCTGTTGGGCTGTGACACTAACGTCCATCACCTGGCCACAGGGAGCAACGACGTCAACGAGAGAGAGGTCCTGAGGGAGAGCCCCAGCCCGGCTCTCTAGCGTTTTAAATACTAAAAATCACTACAGTACTCATAACTTTTAACCTTTTAAGAGAGGTTAAGGGTTCGTTCATGGTCTTCATTGTCACTGACAGTGAAACAAAACTATCTCTAAAAAAACATGCACAAATCAAACTACATACTACAAACTAATGCAACTACATACTAATGAAACTACATACTAATGCAACTACATACTAATGCATGCACACACAAAAAACAGTTAAAAGCAAACATCTACAAAGCAACACACCATGCAAGGCAAAAAAAATCAAAACAGGAAAACAGCAGTGCTAAGTACCAAATTCATATACCACTAGTAGTCATAGTACCACTACTGTGGGACTATCGCTCCCGATGTCATTTATTTATTGATTCCAACGGATATCACCTTTTTACAATAACATAATATGCAAAGGACTCCCGGGAACCACCATTGACCAGAGAAATGACGATGGTGGTAGAATACGGAGTCAGGGAAAGGAGTCACCTGCTGTTGGGCTGTGACACTAACGTCCATCACCTGGCCACAGGGAGCAGCGACGTCAACGAGAGAGAGGTCCCGAGAGAGAGCCCCAGCCCGGCTCTCTAGTGTTTTAAATACTAAAAATCACTACTGTACTCATAACTTTTAACCTTTTAAGAGAGGTTAAGGTTTTGTTCATTCATAACCTTTTCTTTGCCACTGACAGTGAAACAAAACTATCTCTAAAAAAACATGCACAAATCAAACTACAAACTAATGCAACTACATACTAATGAAACTACATACTAATGCAACTACATACTAATGCATGCACACACAAAAAACAGTTAAAAGCAAACATCTACAAAGCAACACACCATGCAAGGCAAAAAAAATCAAAACAGGAAAACAGCAGTGCTAAGTACCAAATTCATATACCACTAGTAGTCATAGTACCACTACTGTGGGACTATCGCTCCCGATGTCATTTATTTATTGATTCCAACGGATATCACCTTTTTACAATAACATAATATGCAAAGGACTCCCGGGAACCACCATTGACCAGAGAAATGACGATGGTGGTAGAATACGGAGTCAGGGAAAGGAGTCACCTGCTGTTGGGCTGTGACACTAACGTCCATCACCTGGCCACAGGGAGCAGCGACGTCAACGAGAGAGAGGTCCTGAGGGAGAGCCCCAGCCCGGCTCTCTAGCGTTTTAAATACTAAAAATCACTACAGTGCTCATAACTTTTAACCTTTTAAGAGAGGTTAAGGTTTCGTTCATGACCTTTCATTGCCACTGACAGTGAAACAAAACTATCTCTAAAAAAACATGCACAAATCAAACTACATACTACAAACTAATGCAACTACATACTAATGAAACTAAATACTAATGCAAGCACACACAAAAAACAGTTAAAAGCAAACAACATCTACAAAGCAACACACCATGCAAGGCAAAAAAAATCAAAACAAGAAAACAGCAGTGTTAAGTACCAATTCATAAACGCAGGTATTTACACCGTTATTTGGTCACAAAATGTATGAAGATAATGCATCCCCACCACCGCAGGCACCATGTACTGACCGGTGTCACTATCACTTGTAGTTGTAGTTTTTACTAGATCACTACATTGACTACATCAGTGATAACACTTTGTTTTGCTGGCTGTGATATTTCTTTCGACATCTGAGCAATTTCTCAACTTGGTGTAACAAGAAAATCCCAAAGTCATGACATCTTTTTTGCCCTGGAAATTTCACTTAAAACTTAAGTACACTATAGTGTACAAATCGTCTCAATTGAGTACAGGATTGTAATAAAACTCAGGACTGACGATGTTAAATCAAATCCCATGTTATGTTCAGTGCTTGGTTGATACAGGCCTTCACCATCAAAGCCCTAGCGTGGTGGTTGGATAGAGAGAGTCTTAGTAAATCCACCTTTCCTGCACTAGGTCCATGACTGACAAAGTACAGTGACTTCCACTATCCCGGCTAGCACTTGAAAAGTTCTTTGCAGCAAAGCTGACAATTTTACTTTTTGAAATCTTCATTTCATTTATCATTCTACACTGATGAACTACAGTAAAACCTTGATAAGAGGATCGTCGATAACGAGTCACCCTTGCGAGAGAGAGGTCCAGAGAGACAGCCCGAGCCTGAGGTCCTGGGTTTAGATCCACCTAATCTCCAATAGATGTTATTTACTAGCCTGAACTAATGTGGAAAACATTTCCAGGCTAGAACCTAGCGTCTATTACTTAAAGGTTGGACAATAGTAATTTCTGCAACTAGTGAACAATTGCAATTTGCACTCGCGTTGCACATTCTATTTTTCCTACCATTACCAAAAAAAAAAAAAATTGACTGTAGGAAAAAACAAAACTATCTCTAAAAAACATGCACAAATCAAACTACATACTGCATACTAATGCAACTACATACTAATAAAACTACTTACTAATGCAACTACAAACTAATGCAACTACATACTAATCAAACTACTTACTAATGCAACTACATACTAATCAAACTACTTACTAATGCAACTACATACTAATCAAACTACATACTAGTGCAACTAACTAAATCTTGAACAGTTCTTTGCAGCAAAGCTGATAATTTAATTTTTAGGTAATAAAGTGTGCTTTTTAGTAAAATGTTAACAGCTTAGTATAAATTATATAAATTTATCAAGTTTGATCAAGATATATCCACAAACAAGCAAACTGTAACCCTAATTAAAATTTACGTCTGCTATCTCGTTTGAATAAACGTAGGTTTAAATGTTTGTACCGGTACCAAATTTAAACCCTGATGGATTAAATGTGCTTATAGTTACACGTTGTCTTCCCCAATTACCCCATTGGGAAGCGAGCTGTTCTAGAGGTAGAGCCTCTGGCTTTGGGCTTTGCTGAGGTCCCTGGTTCAAATCCCGCCAATCACCTATTGGGTTTAACTATGAGATAACCTCGCGACCCTCTCTGTCTAGCCCTTAGTAATGTGTAAACAGTTCCGGGCTAAAACCTAGCGTCCTAGGATGTTAAGGTAGGACATAACAAAAAATTACCCAGTATAATCAAAGTATCACGACAGATCTACAGCTTAATCTCAGTAGTATTAGCGAATGGTGCAAAAGGAATGATATGTAACTTAACATACACAATGCCATGTGATAACTTATACTATAAAAACAAATCGATGCCATTAGAGCTTAAATTTAATATTTTAAAACCTAGGATCACATTTGAAACCAGCAGTAATTTTATATAAAAAATATACACTCCTAATTTACACCATATGCTAACCAGTAGTCCAGACAAATGGTTCGAGTCGTTCATCTGAAGGAAGAGAATTGTTGAGCGACTCGAGAGTATCCAGGGTTTGGTTGAGTAGTAAGTGGCATCGGTTGAGTTGATGAGACACGTCGCTCACCTTGGCTAGACGTTCAGCGTACTTGGCAAACGTCTTTTGTCGCTCAGTCATCAACTGCAGGAACCTCGTTACTTCATTGTCAATCTAGTGAACAAAACATTTTAGGATAGTAAAAATTTGTGAAGCAACAACCAAGAGATAACAGGAAAGCAAAATTATTGTCGTTAAAAATCAAAGTAAAGACACAATTAAAATGTAATCCTACACATCAAATAATTTAGAACTTCTAGATAGCATTGTATTTGGGAGCGAGCTGGCCTAGTGGTTAGAGCGCGGGACTTCGGTGCCTGAGGTCCCGGGTTCAAATCCTGCCAAATCACCAATGGATTTTATCTAAGACAAAAAAATAACAAAAAACTACATAGCATTGTCTACTCCTAAGGCCGCATTCTCACTATGCTTTAGTTAAAAAAGTACTCGGTCTAGTGTCCGATGATTCGTTCGTCAAGATTCAAATCAAATTCCTTTATTTCGTATAAGGCCAGGCGCACACAGGCGATTTTGAGTCGCGCAACAGTTGCCCGACTAAAATGTTCAACATTGTTTTAAATTGGAGTGCGCACACGAAGGAAACAGTCTGGGGACAGTCGCGCAACTGTTGCAACCGATGTTCCCGGACCCAATTTGCCAGCGACTGCTCTGCGACTGAATTGTTGCGGGACTGTCGCTCCAGGTTTGGTATCCATTGAAACAAGTGTAGATGCGCACACATGCAACTAAATAGTTGCTGTGTCGCTCAGTCTCACCCCAGGAGTTCAACTACTCGTGGCCAGAACTGTCACTAGTGTTTGCTCTCTTGTTGTGTGAAGATTTTAGAAAATTGCAAGTATGAGTGTGCGTGGTGAGGATGTCGAACAATTAGTTGATGAAGTTGAGAAGAGGCCGACTATATTTAAAGTCATTGACTCTGTCCTTTCACAAGTCGCTCACTATATATATGGGATGAACCCAGTATCTTCTCTTTTTCTTTCGCGCGCGAAACTTCAGCAACAAAGCACATACTACGGCTGTATCATTGAAATCCATTCGGAACGCTGTAACGAATGTATTTCCAACACGTCTCAAGACTAGATCCGCGACTAAAAAGTTGCCTGTGTGCGCACTCCAGCTCAACTGTCGCTAGACTTCAGAGTCTCCGAGAGAGTTGCGCAACAGTCCCCCGATTAGTCGGGCAACTGTTGCGCAACTCAAAATCGCCTGTGTGCGCCTGGCCTAAAATAGACAATATTTACAAAATGTAATATATGCAATAGAAATAGGTTTTAAAATGTATAACTAAAAATAAAACAAAATTAATCCCACATGGGATACCCCGTCCGTGGGAGTGAGTCGTATGATGTTTGATTAGAAAGAATTGAGAAGGTTTGATAACAAAAAAAAGACAAAAACAGGTACTTCTAATAATTACTGTGCGGGCTAGACTCCAAAGCGCCAGCGGAGTCATGACATAGTAGATTACGCCGACTATGTACTTTTAATCTACCATGTAGATAACAACTATCAGTGTCTTAGTTGGAGATGGAGTCATATTTCATGCTTTTTCCCTCGGAGACTTTTCCTTTCTTTTTTGGTTTACCAACAGATTCCGTAGGCCTATCTGCTTCTAATGACACACTATGACTGTTATTCAAATATGTATTGTCCTAATCATCCAGATCGCCAACAAGCAATTAAATGTAAATCAAATAAAGCAATATAAGTAATATTATTCATTCTGATAACCCTTGGACTACTAGCTAGCAGTCTACCTACAACCGCTGCCGTGCCGTGTCATGATAGCGCTATCGTGTTATTTCGTGTTTAAATGTTTCGTGTTCTGTGTTTCGTTCTATGTTTAAATTATTTGATGTTTTTGACATAAAGCTCCGACGATGTTGCAGTGCAGCGAAACATGTGAGCTTTGAACAACATTAGTTGAAATAAGACACAATTTTGGACTACTGACGGAGGTAAGCCTATAAGTTAAATATAAGTAACACTATAACTCAAAACAAACAGCCGCAAACCAAGAAAGTATCACTATCACAGGTGTGTGTGTATGTATGTGTGTGTGTGTGTGTGTGTGTGTGTGCAGCTTTAAACCAGTGTACAAGTAAACATCAGTGACAGACGGGTGTACAGGGAAGTCAGTTAGACGACAAAATAAGCTATATGCATCCCTGAGAGCTAGATCGCAGCTAACAACTGATGTGAAGGGCCACATATAAAAGGACCAATGTATAAAGGTAGCCTATAAAATTACCTAAGTACTGCCAGAGTGATCCTGTATGATCCTTGTGGATTACACGTTTCGAGGACTTAAGGCCTTAGGATCTTGTACAAGAACATGGTAAAACATTGAACATTTTAGTTTTTGGCAGTCATGACCCTGTTACTGTGCACACATGGTCGGATATTTTGTCTGTATCGTGTAAATGTCTCTGTCTGTATATAGTATGTGTTCGTGTGTCTTATTTTAACTTTTGATGACCTTTTCGAATTGACAGTGTCTACAATGTTCTTGTACAAAATCTGAAGACTAAAGTCCTTGAAACGCATAATCTACAAGGATCATACAGGCTAAGTGCACAAGGACTCTGGCAGTACTCAGGTAATTTTATACCTTTTATAGTTAGTTCAGTGTGTCAGAGATAATACAACTTAAATATGATATTACAATGGCCTGCTACAAATTGAGTAACTGAAAAGCACGGTGGTCTTCTATCCTATCTTCTTCTTCGGAGCCTTGGATTCCAAGTTCCCTCACCCCTTTTTTAAAGTCCCTTCTCATTGCCTGTTTGTGTTGCTTAAAGTCTATCCGCATTTCTCGGAAGTCAGCTTAACCGGCCATCGTCTGGCTCACTTAAGCTGGGAAAAGAATTTTGAAATTGATGCTTATGCTACAGCTCAACTCTGTTCACACCAACTGGTCGACTAAGTGTAATGTGAACAGAGTGTCGGTGCAGATGAGCACCGTGGGTACTGGGTTGGTATCCTTTCTTACAATGTATATGCATAGTCAATGCTGCGATTGAAGCAAGGAAGCTGACGAGTGGAGGGGATTGCCGCTTTACAACATTGGTGGGTGTGGCCTTGCGTTCGTGGAGGCTATGATACATTGCCTATTGTTATTTTTCATCATTCTGCACAATAAGCAGCTGGTTTCTGTACTCTTTGTAGACTAGAAAGTAGTTGTTTACAGAAAGGAACCAGTATAATCAGCTAGAGTCCTGCAAATGTATTGACCATTCTCAAGTAAACATTACACTTTTTCAAAAAGGCAAAGGCTCTCTACAATGCTACACAATAGATATTGGAAATGGTAAAAGATTTACCTTTTCAAAACAGTTGATAATTCTGTTAAAATAGTGTACTGTGTATTATGTTTCGTGGTCAATGGTAATAGTGTTGTGGTCATGTTTTACTTATACTGTATGTCTGAACTATTGTCTTTAAACTCTTGTATGAGTCTTACTCAATAAACAATTCCTCTTACATTTCTGAAGTTATATCGTAACATTATCTCCCATGGTAATTCCCATTGGGAGATATAAACTGGGAGATACTAGTCTGGGTAATACTAAAATTTCTGGGTAATTGTAAAATTTACCTCCTTTATTTTGATGGAGATAGAAGTCTGTTCGTCTGCTACCAAGGAGGCGGATTGACGAAGGTAGTCTTGATAATGAAGACAGAGACGGTAGAGTGCGCTAGGATCTAGACGCTCTAGAACTTCCGGGTCTCGAGCTGCAGGTAAGTTAAGAGTACCTCTCATGATCGGGAGGAACATCGGAATACTCTAGAACATACAACAAACTTGAGTGGATGGTCTTTGGTAGAGAGCTGAGCGGTTAGAGTGGTCACCAAGTTATTAAGAGGTTGCTAAGTTTGATACTGATAAAAGTGTAACTATTTGAGGGATGAAAACTGTCCCCAGCTGTAACAATTGAATTGATCACGTCAGTTCTTTCTTGTACCGTACCAGCTCACACCTTACTTTTCTTAAAATGTTTTATGCACAGGCTAGAGTCCCATTCCTATAGGTAAATGCAAGGTTAAAAAAGACGCCAACCTCTTAAAAAACCGCTTCCTATCTGACAACCATGGGACCGAGCCCCGCCAGGATAATAATTTAGCTGAATCAACCTATGATAATAAAAATAATTTATACCTGGTAATAATCAATAAATGTAGTTACAAGCAGTGTCGAACGGATTATATTGAAGAAAAACACAGATTTGTAAAACCAATACAAATGTATTCATATGAAACTGTAATTAAGTAGTTAACATAAAATAATTATTAATTCCAATTACTAATAGGGTTATTTAATAAAAATAGATGTAGACCTTAGAGATTATTAGGCCATAATAGTAAAATAGCTACAATTATCTACTGAACATATTTTCCGTCCTAATTTGCATACAAAACAAAACAATTACTGTAGTGTAGCCTACCAATTCTACTGAAAATAATCAATTAACAATCAAAAAGAAAATAATCAAACAGTTTAAAGGTTAAGCGTGCTAGCTCAACTGAGTAGGCCTACTGAACATAATAAAATACATCATAAAAATGGTTGAGTAACAGAACCTAGTGTATGTAACTATGACTGTATCAAAACCGTCGCAAATATGTTTTGATATTAATTTCCGAGAAGTGGTGAAATAGAATTAGAACCGGTTATCAGAGGCTCTGCTGTATTGCTGTTATAGCTATTGTTTTTTTGTAATAATTTAATCAATTATAAAGACTGACACAGTTATAGTACCTGAAGGCGTAAAATGTCAACATCTTTGTCTGTTGTTTCCTGCGCAAGAGCAGGTTTGACGACGACTATGTTGTGCGCAGGAACAGTAACAGCAGTGCGGGGAGTGGTTGCTTTGCGCAGACCAACTCGGCGCCCGGGCGAGGACAGAAGTCCTCCAGTAGCTCCCAGACTCTTGCCTCGACTTAGCTGACCCTGCTGTTTGACTGGGAGTTTGGGAGAATCTGTAAAGCAAACAAATAAAAATTATAACTGAATTTCTAAGGTCAAAAATTTAGAAGATCTGTTTGTTAACCTTAAACACAAGATGTTTGTTCTAACCGAACCAGCTTTGGTAGTTTTCCCCAAATTGTGTCAAATCATTCTCTGTTTTGCCCTTTGGTGTTCAGCGCTAGTGCTTGCCATGATTTTATTATCAAAATAGAATCCAAAAATACCTAGGATTCCAACAACTAGAATTTTAGGTCCATACTAAATGGTCACAACTAAATGGTTTTTTTAAGGGTTCATAACCATATGTAGTACCGGTACCAATCTTTTACAGTTTGCATTTTTTTAGCAATACGTCTGTCTCTGTCACACACTACGATCGGGAACAGCTGTAAAAGATTGAGCAACCATTTAGTTGTAAGTATGGACCTAAAATTATCGTTGTTGGACTACTAAGGTGTTTTACAATTCTATTTGGATGAATAAATTATGAATCATGGCAAGCACTTATGTCGGACACCAAAGGGCAAAACGAAAGATGGTTTGACACAATTTTAGGAAAACACTTAACTACCGTAGCAGAAGCAGTGTTAGAAGGAATGTGATTAGGCCTACAATCACTACACCAATTAGTACTTGATCAAAATGTCACCACTAGACGTGGAAATTGAATTAGGATGTACCGGTAGCGTTTACTGAATTATATCCAGTAAAAACAGTCTAGGCCTACTTATTGTTAGAGACATAGGCGTGTCCACAGGGCTTTTTTTGTGAGCTAGGCTTTTTTTAACACAATAAGTAGGACTACTGGTATCCACCTACTTTATTGTAAGTTAGGCCTATGTTAGAAGATAAGTTAGTCTTTAGAAAATGTGTTATGATTCCGAGATCAATGCACACACATGCATGTGATGATATACAACGTTACAACGTACAATTGTAATACTTGGAAATCAATTTTTTAACCAGACACAGGCTTGTGAGCTAATGGGATTGACTACATGAAGTAGGCCAACTTGCCTTGGGATTGTGAAGTAGGCCTAGTGAAGTGAGGCTCTGCCGGGCAGACACTTATAAGAAAACTTGTTCCAATAGTACCGCAAGTTATAACATTTTTAAAGCAAGATAATGAAGGGTACAGTATGTCTGAATCGCAAACAGCAATCAGTGTAAAATAATAGTTAATTTAATGTTTTATCACGTTCGCTGAGGTTGTTCCGGTGGCGGAAGCAGCCAATGCGCTGCGTGGATGAGTGGGCAAAAATGTTTAAATTTAGTTTCACCCGATAGTAGAGGCATATTATAACCAACGATGTAAAAACTACTGGATTGCGCTCTCAGTAGCACTGTGGGCGCTGTTTTCGGTCTAGCTACCCCCACCATCTACTGGCAGTAGCCGACGCAGCCCATACGCTCACCATTGTAAATCGCACCTTTTTAAGTTGCTGCTCTGTTTAAATATATAGATGTAAAATATTGCTAATGCATGCCAAACGATTTTTACTATTCTAAACTTTATGTCTTCTTCTTTTCTTGCAGAAAATAACACATTTGAACTCTTAAAACCCTACTACATTTGTCTAGTTTTTACCGCAAATCTACGCTTGACATTAACGTGATAAGCACACTTTTTTATGACCTATTTTGTAAGATACATTGTCATTAAACATTGAAAGAAAAAAAATATCGCTTTTACGTCAAACATAACGTTACCACTGCGGCAAAGACTTAGCAAAATTATTCAAAATGTTTATGTACTATTTTTTCGATTAATAAAATAGAATTTCAATTACAAATATTGTACTTTCTATTTCTCTTTTGTAATCACTTATTATTTTACCATGTACAATTTGGAACTAGCAATATCAGTTGTCAAAAACATCTACAAAATGGGTTTAGTGAATTTGCAGTTTTAAAGAATTCAGATGGGCTATTTTCTGCAAGAAACAAAACAGACATAAAAGGTTTAACTAGTAAAAAGAGTTTGACAAGCGTTAGCAATATTTTATCCCTATAAATTTCAACAGAGCAGCAAATAAAAAGTGTGTTTTATAATGGTGAATGTATGGGCTGCGTCGGCTTCTGCCAGTAGGTGGTGGGGGAAGCTCGACCGCGCGGCCAACACTGAGCCAGCGATCCATGAGTTGTTTATATCGTTGATTATAACACATACTGCGTTTCAGTCGTTGTGGACATAGTTTTACAAGAACCCAACAGATAGCAGCACTAAACAGGCTCTCAGTACCGTTATTGCCAAATGTAAAGTAATTATCATCATAAGTAATTATCATCATTATTCCATTCCATTTCACTAAATCCCCACACTACACTGAATTTGGAACAATCGCGTCCACCGATAAAATAATCATACGTCTAAAAAACAAATTATACTGGATTGAAGTATAAAACTAGCACGACAAGCGGCCATCGGAAACAACGTTCCCCGTGCAAGGCTGAGTTCACACTGAAGCAAGATTGTTGTTATGCAAGGAGGACATTTCCCGCCCCACACCAGTGGTGTCGGTATGGCAGGACGAGAATTCCCGCCCTTAGCACTGAACATGTTAATATGTAAAAAGTCTTACAAATAGTTAAACACTATAAAATCCTCCCAAGAATTGTAGGAGGGTATCCTACCTGATCCCCAGAAGGTCTGACAACCCCATTACCAAGACCACGACAACCCTGGACACGCCTATGGTTGAAGACTACTTACCCCTGGACAGTGGACCTACAAATTATTTAGGTTCAAAACCACCAGGTGAACATATTGGTGAATGGCAGGACTTTAACCAAAGCCTCTACAACGGAAGTCAAGTCCTCCTACCACTAAACCAGCCACATTGAACATAAGAGTACGGTAGGCTATCTTTTAAAAATTAGTGAACAAATGTCCTACAACATTCTAGGGCGCTAGGGTCTAGTCCAAGGCCGTTTTACACATTACTTCAGGCTAGGCCTAGAGAGTCGAAGCATTATCATGTATATCTATTTAAAGTCACTAGTGATTGTGGAGACTGGGACCTTAGGGATAAAGGTTTAGATTATACTAGACAAGCTTGCCTTCCTCTAGTTTACATGGAACAACAGTGAGTGTACAAATAGGTTACCTCCAATTGGTCGATTAACAGTGTACGATATGTAAGGAAGATCTGAATCAGAACAGACGCTGGGTCCCGGAGAAATGCTCCCAGGACGAGAACTTTCCATGTTCTCTTGTTCTTGAGTCCGTTTCGACTCCGGAACGGATTTCCCCCTCCGCAACTGGCCGATTCTTGACGCCTGAGAAGAGTTTGCTTGACTGCTTTGCTCCGATCCCATAGTGCTGCAAACATGTATTATATATTGAATAAGTGATAATCGTAAAAATACATGTAAGCGTATATGCCTTTAATGACTACTAGCTTGTGTTTTTTTTTCTAATTAAAACCTTGATAATTTAAGTGTTCATGTGATGTAAATAAACAAGGTTGTAATCATTGTGCTTATCATATAATAAATTGGGTTGCCTATAGGCCTATCTTTAACTGACTGAACGACTAATAATTACAATAACAATATTTCATTTAAACCATTAAAATATGTAAAATCGATTAATAGTAATACAAAACGTAATCAGAAGGAATGGTGATGCAAAGCTAAAAGCTCACTTTTCAGCCAAAGTTAGTCTAGGAGAAAATCTTTTTTTAATGCCTTTATACTTAAGTTTGTGTAAAGTGTTCTTACTACTCATTCCTGTAAAGGTGGTTTCTATCATAAAATGGTAATCCAACACTAAATCAACTTAAAATTGATCAGAAAATAAACTTAGCTTTTACTACATATATTATTTATCTTAAGTTTATGATATAAGTTAGCTAATGGCGGGTTTTTTTCATTCTTATAGGCCTACAGCCTGTTAGGTTTGCATTTAGTTTCGGCATTTACTTAAGCTAGGCCTAAACTTACTTATATTTACATTATTAAAACTGTGATCATTTAAGTATTTGAAGACCATTTTTTAAGTGGATAGTCATTATTTCTGAAAAAATTAACAAAAATGGCATTAGGACTGTCTTAATAGCGCTGATTCCAATTCTGGTACGCCAGAATTAGGACAGCTAAAATTTATGACCTCCCTATTGCCGGCAACGCCGGCAGACGTTTTATAAATTTATTTTGTTAACTTTAAGCACAGAAAACATACTACTATAACCCAGAATGCCAACCGCATGGTAAAAAGCATTAAGTGTTTTGAGAGAGCTTTGCGATGGCAGCGCCACCAGCGTTGCTATGCTGAGTGCATGGCAACGCTGGTGGCGCTGCCTGCGATTGACAGGCAAAGCTCTCTCAAAACACTTAATGCTTTTTACCATGCGGTTGGCATTCTGGGTCTGGGTTATAGTAGTATGTTTTCTGTGCTTTAAGGGTGATCAGTTAGCTAGGTTAGGTTTATGATCAATTAAACATTCATTTTTTAGTGCAGAATTGTAATTTATTTAAGTAGCCTAAAAGCCTATTTCAATCACCTGTATTCTTAGAGTAATCAAGAAGAAAACTAGGTGAGACAAATTCACAAATTCTTGACCAACTAACATTCTAACTGTCACTAAATCTGTGATATAGCCTAGGCCAATCAGGTGTTAAAATTGTTTTTCCTACAGACGAATAGTTAATGTAACAACCAATAAAAATAAGATAGCTATTTCAAATGTTTAAATGTTGTTAGGCCTAAATGACGTAGAAGTCGCCGCTGGTAGCGTTTGGGCCCCTGCTGGCATTTGGGATGTTTACCTTAGCCTATATTTATTTACCTGGTTAATTGAAAGAAGAAACCTATTTGATAGATAGATTTAAATGTATAGATATCGATTGAAGCATATATTCACATTTAACAATTTGAGCAATAACCCTTGACAAGAAGCTGTAACTTCATAAATAGGCCCAATAACTATTTTCCACCCATGCCCCAGGCTTGATTTGGAACCCTATCCAGGACCAACGTTGGGGTTTGGCATTAAGGAGGAAGTACTGTAGCCTACCCTCAAAGTTTGGTAAATTGCAATGCATGATTATTAGGCTAGGCCTAAGTTAGCTACTTTGGAAACCTTAGAAGGATCAAATAAGAATAATTTATTTTAAACACTTTAGGAGTAAAATTTAAAAAATATGTATCATAACTTGGGTGTAGGCCTAGTGTAAGAAACCGTTTTTCTAAGAGCTGAATGTTTACTAGGCCTACTCTGGTTATTTCTCACTTCTACCTTATAACCAACCAGATTAATCATGTTCCATTTAAGTTAAGACCTACCAACAAGCAGCAGCGAGGAAAGTACCACTGCATTACGTACTATAGGCTACTGCGTAGCTTGTGAGTAGGTATTCCTCCATAGGCCTAGAGGCCTAGCCTACATTAGGCTTTAACGTAAACAAGTATTGTTGAGCAGATAGAGGCAGGTGTAAACTGTGGTGGTAATTTATCTAAACCTTCAGTGCCAAGAACCTGACAGTGACTGTTGCCTAATCGCAGAAGCCAAGGCTAGGCTTCCCATGAGCCATGAGGCATGAGGTGCCATGAGGTTACTGTGCTATAGGCCTATGTTGTTACAAAACAGCAATTTTAAATGAATTTAAAAAAAGTTATTGTGAATTCACAAACTAGGCAAATTGGTTCCTGTAGCTCATTAATCCTGCCACAGCAACCATACGAATTGCAATAGACCCTAGCAGCAAATTAAAATTCTTTCCTTAAAAAATACCAAACTTTGGAGCATGCCAACATGAGGTGTTGTTTGGACTAAACTAGAAAGAACGCATTTTCTTCTTCAGAGTTATCGACAGTTAGTATTGTTTTCCAATTAAAATGTCAATGAATTTCGAAAGGTTAAGGGATATGGTCTGAAAACTTAGAATGCATCAAACATGGCAAGCATGCGGTTTGAGGTTATTAACCTTGGATTTAACCAAAAAAGTTACGTTAGGAGATCAAAAACCTAAATAATAATTGTTCATTAGAAATGTGTTAAGAACTTACGTGGTCTGTAAACTGTTATTTCTGTTCTGTGTGGAAAACTACAACTTTATGTTGAACAGTAAATAAGCATGCACAACCGAAACGACGAAACGACCATTTCTTCAAAAACTTTTAGTTTCGGTTTCAGTTTCAGTTCAGTTCAGTTTTGCTGTTCCGTTCCATGTTCGTCCAATTTCCAATTTAATGGCAGAAGGAATTTAGGAATTAAACTGTATTTTTGACATGCTTTTTTTAAATAACAGACGAGTAGCATATGTATTAGCTTGTTTTGACCTATTATATTAGCGTTGATCATAAAAGGGTTATAAATAATGGTAAACATTTGCGACTCAAACCATCTAACCCAACTAAATAATGATGTATAAATTGTACACTTAAAATTATAAGATCTGCGGATTGATCTATAACAATATTGGGTCACCGTTAATGTGCCACCTAAGCGTTGTAGTCAGAGGCGAGAGGCGACTATTCGCCACCCTGCACACTGGTGACAAGACAAGGTTTGGCCGCGCTAGATGCCACAACGACAACCAGCCATCACGGCGTTGCGGTCAGAGGTGACGGTGACAACTGACAACTCGCCACCCTACAACCTGCACGCTGGCGACTATGTTCCATTCCGACAACCTGCCGCTTATCTGTGGTGGCAGGTTGACGTGCTCTTTTAATCCTCTTAGGCTCCTACCCGTCTAGGTGCAACCACGAAAACCCACCACTACCACATGTGCCTTAATTAAGTACAGACAATCTAGGGAGCAATTGCTTGTTGAATTCCGTAATCTCATCCAGAGTTACCGTTAAAAATTCCACGATGACCAGCTAATATCAATATCGGGCGTGCACCTGCATAATAAAACCTGTTGTATATACCTGTTTTTTTTAACAAGTATGAAAATGTATTGGAAATAAGCTATCAGCAGAAAGAATGTTCAATGTTAATGAGCCAGATGTTTAATCGGTTCACACCACACATACCTTTTACCTTGGTTCTATTCACCGTGGTCGTAGAGACTAGGTAATCGTCATATTTTTTTCTTCCTAGCTCATTTCCTGCCTAGAGTCAACAAAGAAACTAATAAAACAGATTGGAGGAATCAAGGGAAGAGGGTTTGATTCCACTGAGATTACTCTTCGAGTCCACTTTAAAAGCCCCATGCTAAATGGAGCTCCTCCTGGAAGCATGGGAAGAAAGGACTTGCAGCCAAACAGGTTGGTCAGTACGGGTGATTTTTGAACTTCACGTCATCATCTTTTAACACGTCAAGTCAGACGATATTGTAAAGTACTCATCATTTTAGATAATCACGAATCTCACATTATAGTTGAAGCCATTAACAAGGCTAGTTAACGACATCGTTTTGTTTACGAGCATACTGCAGCCTAGAATAGAGGAGTTTTTGTTTGACGATCTGATATTTATCCTTGATAACAACCAGATCGTCACTATCTACCCAACTCAGAGGGAGGCCTGCCCTCACGTCCTCAATAAACTGCTGAATTTCTTACATACGAATCTAACAGCAGATGAATACGTCATAGCTGGAGTAATATGACGACACAACAGCTGACTGTCATCGTCATCACACACGGCTGATCTAGGGAGTTGATACTCGCGGCTGACGGCAGAGTCACGCCGATTCAGCACAACATTACTCCACGCAGCGTGCAGCTTCGTCGGGTTCAATGACCGCGCGCAACTGCAGCCAACATAACATATTAAACCCCCATTTAGAAGTCATTTTTAACTAATTGGTAAATTAAAAGATTTAGGCATTATTGGCAAATAGATCTGTTGATTTAAGTCACACTTAGAAGAGCGAGCAATACACTGAAATCGATGAAATGTTTTTAATAATTAACTGACGAAAATTAAACCTAAAACCATAAAACGTAAAATATTCTAGGTGTGAAAAGTAAAAAGAATATGTTGATAAAATGTTTCTATATTTAGTTCAGGTTATTTTGCAGTGAAGAGACAGGTATTTTTTTAATTTTGACACAATCAAATCAGTTTATTATTCCTAACTCACTCACATATCCTTTATTGTATAGAGCTCTATGGTGCAACATTAATTATAAATCTACAAACAATCCTACATTTTGAAAACCTGCAAATGCTTTAAAATCTTAATGATGCACATTTTAAAAATAGCACTCTCTTTATATTTATATACAACAGTTTTACTTGCCAAAAAGAATACAGAGACTCAAGAATTGGCCCCAAGACAACTAAGTATTCTCACATACAAAACTAATAACATTTTAAAAATAATAATTAAAAAAAAACTGTTTTAAATAAAAAAAAACTCTTTCAGGGATTACATATTACAACTACCTTCCCGAAAAAAAAACCGACAGGACTTTGAAATGTTTTGAAAGTAAACAGATTTCTTGTGACTTAAGCGCTTTGCGATTTTGAATAATAAATAAAAGAAATGAAAAGGAAGAAATAAAAATAGAAAGTAATTAATTATTTTAAAATAAATACTGGTGTTATTTCTTGTTATCATTTTATGTATGATATCTCCCTGAACACCATTGTATACTCTTGTATATTTATAAATAAAATATATTTGAATTAATTTAAAATACAAATAATACATTTAAAATTGCACAGTCACAATGTATTTGAAAATAAATTTAACAAAAATCTGTTTGAAATTGTAAAACTTCTTTAATTAATTCTTTAATTTCCGAATTTTTTTATGATTTTATGATTGTTTGTTTTTGAGGAAATAAATTCATTATTCATTATTCATTAAAATATGCATATTGTGTGTGCAACTCTATTGTTCGTTGCAGAGAGCCATGCCCCCCCCCCTTCCTGAATACTTACTAAATACTTTAGCTTGAGGTGAGTAAGTATTACAGTAATTTGTACCGTTGGTTACGGTATTCCACAATAATCGATAACCGCTGACTATAAAAACCGAATCATGAACCATACCCATAATAGGTTAAATGCATAGGGTTTTGCCTACCAGAAAAATCTTAAATAACTAGGTGAAGGTATAATATAAATATAAAATGTAATTGAACTTGTAGGTTATATAATCTACAAATTCGAACCAGGGGTTGTATATATAACTAAACAATTGATCATTACAAATTCTTTATATAGTATGAACCGTTTTTAAATAATTCTATAACAAAAACTACAATATAGTATCGTATGCCTAATTTAATAAAGAGAAGGGTTAAATAACAAAATATGTCAGTAAACAATTTATTACTGTAAAATTACTTAACTAAACAAAACAGGGCATAGAGCTCATGGAAATGGCATTTTCGAAAAAATGCATCAAAATATGACGCACAAACATTACTACTAACTCACAATAACTAATCTGGCTTAGCCTATTGAAGATAGTGACATAGAAGGACAAATAACGAGCTTATAATCTTAATGGAACTGTGTAGATTCTTTCAGAAAGTTAGACAAAGCCCAAAGGGGTGACGCGTGACTGGGGGTTCCAGGAAAAAGGGTTGCTCTTCGCTTCACAGCTTTCTAGCTAAATAAAAAAATAAACGGTGACTTAACTTCTCCGCAACTATCTCTACACCCGCCACTTACACTTCAGTTCAGGCAAAAAACCATAAACTACTTGTCATAGGTCGCCGGAATTTTATCCCCCTGGAATTTTACCCCCTGGGCAAAGCTGACGTCACTATGACGTAGTAACCTGAGTGGCCAAAAGTTTGTTCGCGGCCGGAATTTTACCCCCGCGGATTTGGAAGTCTAATGAAAATACACAGAGCGTGATTAATTAGATTAGCAATAAAAACCGGAATTTTACCCCCTGTCCATATAACTAGCGTTTAGACAACTGAAGTTAACTAAGCGTTTAACCCGGAATTTTACCCCCGGATTTTTACCCCCCGGAATTTTACCCCCCGGCCGATTTTAAAAATTGAATGATTGATTTTCTTATTTCTGTTTTTAATAATTGTAAACATTTAATTTTTTAGTAGCCTATCTTTATTAATTAATTTTGTAACCTCTACTAAGTAAACAGAATTCGCTGTTTTATTTTGATCATATTAACCAACAGTTGGCTACAAAGATCGAATCCTGATACTCGAATCTCAAAATTAAAATTAAAAACCTGTTCGATTAGTTAATTTTGCAAATAAATTAAGATAGGCTACTTAATAATAAAATGTTAAAATTTAAAAATTTAAAACTGAATGAAGAAGATTAATCATTCTCACTAATTTATATATCTGGCCAGGGGGTAAAATTCCGGGGGTGAAATTCCGGGGGTAAAAATCCGGGGGTAAAAATCCGGGCCGTACATTCTAGGTTTTTATAATTTGATGTGTTCTGATTAAATTCACAACCGTGAAACTATATGTTTAATTCCGCGTTTAATCCATCGAGCTGATGTCGCGAAACTCAAAAGTTCGCGGCCGGAATTTTACCACCTGGATTGTGACGTCACGTTTGCCCAGGGGGTAAAATTCCAGGGGGATAAAAATCCGCTTACCCCCTAGTCATTTGGTCAAATTTAAAGTACAGTAAATCCAAATATCTTTATCAACATTAAATTCAAGCCGCATCCCCACTATGCCTAATGACATAGATTGGCATTGCCAAGCGGCAAGTAAGGACCCACACCGCTGATTTCAAACCAACAGGTGGTCGGTCAGGATTTAAGGACTGCCATCGGCATAGCCAGTCGGTTTTGCTGATTGGCATAGTTGTCGTCACGTCAGTTGTGCAAACGGCATCATGCAATGCGGCTTAACAAAAATTTCAGAAATAAATTGAAAGATTGGACGGTGTAGTGGATTTTTATCCCCCTGGAATTTCACCCCCTGAGCAAACGTGACGTCACAAACGAGGGGGTAAAATTCCGGCCGCGAACATCGCACGAGTTTTGCGACATCAGTTCGATGGATTAAACGCGGACGGAATTAAACGTATATTTCCATGGTTGTGAATTTAATCAGAACAAATCAAATTATAAAACCCTAGAGTGTACGGGCCGGAATTTTAGCCCCGGACCTTTACCCCCTTTATGAGGTCAGCACAAAATGTACCGCCCGGAATTTCACCCTCCGGATTTTTACCCCCGGATTTTTA